TGCTGAATCAAAAGGCCTGAAGAACTCCAGTCCACGCTGGGCTTCATTCCCTCTTGCTGTTCTCCAGCCCACAGAAGCCAGAACAGTATTTTGCAGACCTTTAGCACTCACATGTCACCTTCACAATATTTGGTACCTCCATAGGCCACCTGTACTCACATCACATTTTCTTTATATTACTCATTTTTTTTAACCTAAATACCTACTCAAGCTTTGTCCTGAGCAATAATATCCAACAGTAACAGGCTTGATTGATATATACATATTTCAAGTGCATGTTTTCAAAAATTCATCATTATTAATATTTTTAATGTTGGTGCACCATGCAAGACAATCTCATGTAACGTCTGACAGAAAATGCTGTCCTAGACAGGAAGTTAGACTCTGGAGCTCTCTTGAGCTTCTTCTATGAGTCAGGCACCATACTAAGGCTTCATAAAAGATAACATTATTGGAGACCTTTTCCCCTACTCATTGGAGAAAATTAGGAAAACATAGAAAAGTCTAAGGAAGAAAAACTTGAAATCTCTTGTCATTCTATCTTGGTTAATAGCAAACATATCTGGATCTAAAATCTGACTCAAACATACTCATTATGATATCTTAGACAAGTCACTTAACCTCCTGGAGTCTCAGTTTATTCATCTTTAACACTGGTAAAATGAGACCTCTTTTATAGGATTTTGGTGAAAATTAAATGAAATGACAGATGTAAGGCACCCTAGCATAGTAAGTGATAAATAGTGAATGTGCAAAAAAATTTTTATATGATTATTATTTCCATAAATTTGTTGTCACATTATATGTTTCTATCTTTTTCTCTTCTTATTATATCTTGAGCATGAAATAATCTTTGGGTCCATAATTATTTATTTATTTTATGGGGGGCATAATTTTTAGTACCGAATAAAATTCCTTACTATGAATGACTTAGTTAATTTTATTATCAGATTGTTTTAGTTCTAATTTTTTGTACATAATAAGTAATCCTGTGATGAAAAATCCTTGTACTTAAATCTTGGTGCTCATTTATGATTTTTCCATAGGATAAGTTTCTAAAAAATGGAATTTTTATGGCTCTTTTTTTTTTCTTTTTTCTGAGTTGGTCTCCAGAAAAGTTGTACTGATTTACCTTCTCACCAGCACTGGCTGAAAGTGCCTGTTTCACAGCACCCTCCCTGACACTGGGTATTAGTTATTTGTTAGAACCTTACTGATTTAACTGGAATATATCAGGCATTGTTTATAGGCCTTATTTCATCTTCACCACAACCCTCTGAAGGGTCCATTTGGTAGCCTCTCGTCCTTGATTGGGAAAACAAGGCTTCCAGAGGTTAAATTCTTACCCAAGCCAGTACAGGTATACATCGTTTTATTGTGGGTCACAGATATTGTGTTTTTGGCAAATTGAAGGTTTGTGGCAACCCTGTGTGGAGCAAGGCTACAGACACCATTTTCCCAAGAGCATTTGCTCACTTTGTTTCTCTGTGTCACATTTTGGTAATTCTTGCAATATTTCAAAATTTTTTATTAGCATTATATTTGTTATGGTGATCTTTGATGCTACTATTGCAAAGAGATTATGATTCACTGAAGGCTCAGAATGACAGCATTTTTTAGCAATGAAGTATAATTAAAGGGGACCTCCCTGGTGGTGCAGTGGTTAAGAATCCGCCTGCCAATGCAGGGTACACAGGTTCGAGCCCTGGTCCAGGAAGATCCCACATGCCACAGAGCAACTAAGCCCGTGTGCCACAGCTACTGAGCCTGTGCTCTAGAGCCCTTGAGCCACAATTACTAAGCCCACATGTCACAACTACTGAAGCCCGCGTGCCTAGAGTCTGTGCTCCGCAACAAGAGAAGCCACCGCAATGAGAAGCCGGCGCATCGCAACGAAGAGTAGCCCCCGCTCTCCGCAACTAGAGAAAGCACACGCGCAGCAACGAACACCCAACGCAGCCATAAATTAACAAATTAATTTAATAAAAGAATGCATTAAAAAAAGTATTATTAAACTAAGGTGGGGTTTCTTTTGGCATAACGCTACGCACACTTAATAGATCACAGTATAGTGTAAACGTAACTTTTATATGCGCTGGGAAACCAAAAAATTCGTGTGACTCACTTCATTGCGGTGGTCTGGAACCAAACCTGCAACATCTCTGAGGTACTCCTGTTAAGTTGTTGGGCCAGGATAAGCCTATTTGGTCCTTAACATGCTGACTGTGGCTTTTCCCCTATACCACACTGCCTCCTGCTGGTGCCCATGGAGAGGGCATGAAGCCCTGAAATTCCTCAAATCAGATTCCTTAGATGAGAGTTAGGTATTTGTGATAAGAAAGAGAGTGATGTTGGGACAACCATATAATGGTGGGACTTTGAAAAATGGGGAGAAAACTCATCAAGCTTTTCACTTAATATTTATGCAATTTATGTGAGTTATACCTTAACTTAAAAAAAAAAGAAAAATGAGAAGATTTTTGATAGAGAAGAGGAGGAAAGACTTTTCAGGCAGGCAATGGCTGAGTTAATAAAAATAGCTCACACTTACTGAGTCCTCACAACAAGCCAAGCCCTTCACTAAGGGCACTGGAAATAGTAATTCATTTAAGTTTCATACAATCACCATGAGGTACCTCTATTATTTGTACTTGACACATGAGGAAACAGGGGCACAGAGATGCATAAGTAAGTAACTTGCTCAAAGTTACACGTCTAGCAAATGGAACAGTCAGGATCTGAGGCAGGTAATTTGGCTCCTGGTTAAGGCAGGCAGACTGGGATCACAAAGTAGCCACACTCACCAAAGATCTGTCAGACTGAGAGGCCTCTTCCCCTATTCTGGAATGTTCACCATACAAAGATTTTGTCAGATCAGGATACTGTACAGATTAAGGTCTGTGTCTAATTCATTCAAGGATCCATCATGTCATTTCACATCCTCACTGATGCTGTCACTTGCCCTCCTGAGTTGTCCTTTAGTGGCCCCAAACTTGATCTTTGCTGATTCTAGTCCAGTGGGGTTGGCAGAACAGCTTTTGAAGCTAGACCAGTTACTAGGCCTCCCATGGAGGGGGCACACCCACCCACCAGAAATGGGATTTCTCTATTTAGTCCAGATACTGGGTGGTGAATTCCAAGAGCATCAGAGATACCGATAGTTGGCTTACATCCTATATCCCCACTTCCTTCCTACACCACTGCAGGCCTATCCAGTCCTTTGGAAATGCCCCTTACTCACCCACTCTTCTGCCTGTGGAAGATATGGTAGATGTGGAAGATAGTGATACACACAATGAAGAAGTGGGGAACAGGCTCTCCAAGGTCAGTGTGGCAAATCCATCACAGAACTGCAAAGAAGTAAGTAAAGGCTCAGGAACATGTCCAGTAAGGTGGAGGATGGAAGTGGATTTGGAACTGGGGTTGGACAAGAACAGACTTGAAAAGGAGAAAGGGACCTCTCCAGGCCTATCTACAAGGATAGAAAGGGACAAAAGAACTCAGGGAAATTATCCTGTGCAGTCATAAGATTATGTAGTCAGCTGTTCTGTATCTAGAAAATCATGACACAAACATGTAAGAAATGGGAGGCAGCTGTAAGAATGTTCCTATTTGAGTAAATGTAGTTTGTTGGTGGACATGAAATTAAATTTCAGTAAATATAATTTGCTGGTGGTACAGTTTTTCAACATGTATCAAAATCCTTACGTGCCTACTCAATTCCATCCAACCTCAAGAAGTGTGACAGGCCCTGGGCTAGGTTCTGGGATGCAGGGTAAAAAGGAAGACAGAGTACCAGCCCCCAAAGGAGCTAACTGTGAAGAACGTATTTCAGGAAGGGTGAAGTAGGAGGTGCTAAGGAGGGAGCAGCAAGGGGATTTAACCTAATCCAGAAAGTCAAGAAAGGGTGAAATGTCTTCTAAGTGAGGCTTGAAGAACAGGAAGGATTTAGTTAGGCTGGAATGGACAAGATGATGCCTCTGGGCAAATTGAGTAGTAGGTGAAAAGGAAATGATAGAAGTTGTATACACACACACACAAAACGTGAGCCCAAAATGAGGTTGGCAAATAGGCGAATTCTTCAAGCTTTATAAGTCATTTTAAGGAGTCTGCACCATGTTCAAAATAAAAGGGAAGAGTGATGAGTGAATGTTCTGATCCGTGTTCTACTGTGTATTCGACTCAGTAATTCTACTTTAAGGAAATTATCCTAAGGAAACAATTATGAATTTCTGCAATGATACAGTTAAAAGGATGTTTCTAATATTGAGACTGTCTAGAATTGCAAAACTTTGAAATAACCTAAACGTCTTACAGTAGTGGTTTAGATAAAGAAGACGTTGGTTCATCCCTATATTGGAATGCTATGTAGCTGCTAAAGATACTGTAGAAAAAAAATTAATGACATGGAAAAATGCAAAATGAAGGTTATATAAAACATACATAGTATAATCTCAGTTTTGCGTGCGCGCACGCACACACACACATACACACACACACACAAACAGGTATACAAGACATTGGAATGCTAGAAACCTAAATGCCAACTTACCTTTTCGTGTGGGATTATGGCTGATTTAAATGTTAACGTTTTGATTATTTTTTCTAAGTGTTCTAAATGTGCTATTTTTGTAATTTAAAAACTATGTCTTAGAAAAAAGAATTTAAAAAAGAAAAAACAAAAATTTAAAAAGGGAAAAATTTTAAGAAAAAGAAAAACAATTTTTTTCTAATTATACGTCTTATATGTCTTAGAGGTTCCCGCGGTGCCGGCCATATTCTATTTCTTGACCTCGGCTGGGTTAACACTGGCCTTTTGCTTTACTTGTTAAAATGTAAACTTGTTTAATAAAGTTTCCTCTCTGCATTTTACATTTCACGATTTTAAAAATGTTTAATAATTTATTTTATTTTTCAATATTTTATACACAGCCCAGCGTCTCTATTATATCGTTCCACAATTTCGGAGCAAAGTTGACACCTCCTACCGCCGTTGATTTACCCATCTGAGCAGCATGGACTTCAAGTCCCAGCAGGCATTGCGGCCGGCACACCGGGAACTACGGGGTCCAAGAGGAAAGCTGGGAGCGACCGGTCCTTGCCCTCCCAGAAGCCCGCGGGCGGCTCGGAACGCCGTCCGTATCATGGCCGCGGGAGCCGGGACGGCTGGCTCCGCTTCCGGCCCGGGCGTTGTGCGTGACCCGGCGGCGTCACAGTCGAAGAAGCGTCCCGGCAGGGAGGGCGCGCAGCGATCGGACGCGATGGCGGGAGGAGGCGGGAGCAGCGACAGCAGCGGGAGGGCTGCAGGCAGGCGGGCGTCCCGCAGTGGCGGGCGGGCTCGGCGGGGGCGCCACGCACCGAGGCTGGGGGGCTCCGCGGAGCGGGGCGCGGGGGAGGCGCGGCTGGAGGAGGCAGTCAACCGCTGGGTGCTCAAGTTCTACTTCCACGAGGCGCTGCGGGCCTTTCGGGGTAGCCGGTACGGGGACTTCAGGCAGATCCGGGACATCATGCAGGGTGAGGGCCGGGCCTGGGGAAGGAGGCTGGGGCTCCTGGGAAGGTGATCTGTGGGGCCCGAGTGTAGCGGCTGGGGGGTCGCCGAGCCAACAATGTCTTCTCTCCCAGCTTTGCTTGTCAGGCCCTTGGGGAAGGAGCATACCGTGTCTCGGCTGCTGCGGGTTATGCAGTGTCTGTCGCGCATTGAAGAAGGAGAAAATTTAGGTATGGCTATTTTTTATGTTCTTCTCTGGGCTTCACTTATTTAGGGTTACGTTGTTTTCAAACTTACATCCTAGACTGAAGGGTTCAGGGTTAAGGTGGGCTACTATGTTTCAATCACGGTGTTTATTCTCTGGCCTTAGTTTTCTCCACTTAGTATTCTCTTGGCTGCTTTTCTATGTTTTTTATTTCCTCCCACCTGTTTCTTGCTCGCCCCAACTTTGTTGCTTTGTAAAGTGAATTATGTGAAGATGGCCATTTTTCCTCCATAGTAGAGTCTTTTTAAACTATGAGCACTTTTTTTTTCTTTTCCTAAATTGAACTTGACAGCTGTTTAGCAAAATGATCTTTAGTTTCTGGCCGTTTGTATCTGATCCTGCCATTTGAGATACAGATGCATGTGTTAAAAAATAACTTTTTACCTGTCTTGAAAATTAGTCACTTGAAATTCATGGATTTGAATTTGGACCCTTAACATGTTTGTAAGCCTGTAGCCAGTATGTAAGCAAATTAAATGCAAATCTTACTATATTTGCATGTTTCTTTTCTATATATATATATATATATATATACATATATATATATATATGAACATAATTCTTCTGCTCTTCAGAAAATAGGTTAAAGTGAAAATTGTGCTCTTTGTCCTAGACTGTTCCTTTGATATGGAGGCTGAGCTCACACCACTGGAATCAGCTATCAATGTGCTGGAGATGATTAAAACGGAATTTACACTGACAGAGGCAGTGGTCGAATCCAGTAGAAAACTGGTCAAGGAGGCTGTAAGGCTCTATTTAAAATTTTTTTTTCTTTTACCAAAGATCAGAGGTCTTTGAGGAATCTGCTTATCTTTTTTGTGTGGGGTGGAGGACAAACAGGGATGGAGAGAGAGCAAGTGAGCAGAGCACACTCAGAACACATAACTCACACACATAGATGTTATTTCGAAAATCAGGTGACCCTTTCTTAGCCCAGACTTGGAAAGAACTGTTAATGGCTCAGCTTTTGTGATTTTGGTGGTCTCCCTTGTGGCCCTGGCAGGAGGGGCCACAGTACACAGGAAGTGAGTTGGCATTGAAGAATGACATTTTGTAGGTGGTTATTACCATTCAGAGCAGCACTGTGAAAGGGCTAAAAGTAAATGGGCTAGGATCTTGTCACCCTTGTTTATTATAGACCAAGGAGAATAGCTGGTGCCTTGGGAAATGTGGGAATGCTTTGAGCTCTTTCATGCAATTGCAGAAAGAGGCTTAGGGAACATTCCCCTTGAACAGACAGAATCAGAGGTGCTGAGATACCAGCCATTTTGAAAAACAGTAGTGGTAGAAGGCTGGCGCAGGCAGTGTTCTCGATAAGAAAAAAGCTTGTAGAGTGTCTAGGAATTTGGGACTGGAACTATGTCATGGCTCAGGTAGCTTCAAGTACTGGAACTTATTTATATTTAAAACATTGAAGCAGCCATGGAAACCAGTCAGAAAAAGCTTTTTCTTCTCCAATAACCAAGGCTGGGGGTGTGGAAGCAGATGCAGAGGTGGGGACTGAGGGACAACAGCTCAGCATTGCCTTGGCGGTAAAAGTAAGGAAATTGGTAAGAAAAGATAACAGCACCTCATAAAAGGATGGGATCTTGGGGGTGGGGGGGGTAAGGGACAAAACCTTGTTTAGCAAAGACTTTCTGTCCCTTGGCTATGTGCTGGGTACTCAGACACCCTGTTTAAAAAAACAACAGGTAAAAAACTGTGTGTGGGGTGCAGATTATTCAGTTAAGGACCTTGGGCAGGAACTACTGTTGGACTTACAAAGAATGCTTAGGAAATTCCAATTCCAAGGAGGAACGATTGCAAGAATAGATTTTTAGTATAGGTAAGTCAGGTTTGTGTTGGAGGTAAAATGCCAGAAAAGACATATTAGCAAGGGAGGAGAAATCCAGGGCTACTTGCAGAATAGCTAAGGATCTTTTGGATGGGAAGAAGTGGTACCAGTTCAGGGTACTTTATGTAACTACTGTTAAGTAGCCAGCTAATTCAGAAATGCAACTCCTTCAGAACACAAGGGGTATAGATCTGTCTTCTGGCTGCTCTTCTGGTAGAGTCTATGGGCTTTTATCTTTCAGTTGAATATTTATTATTTAAGTTCATAGATCTGTTTGGGGGCTTCATTAGGAAAAATCTATTAAGGAAAACCAGATTCCCTTAAAATAGTCAACCATTTTCTTAATGTTGACTCCCTTCTGCTTTTTCATTTTCCACCAGGTACCAGATCTCTTGTTACTTACTATATTACTGTTGACTGCTGTGTAACAAATTAACCCCAAATTTAACAGCTTAAAACAATAAATATTATCATCAACCCCAAATTTAACAGCTTAAAACAATAAATATTATCTATCAGTTTCCAAGAGTCAAGAAGCTGGTAGTGATTTAGCTGTGTTTCCTACTCGAGGTCTCTCGTGAGATGATAGTCAAGCTGCCTGCCAGGGTTGCAGTCATCTCAAGACTCAACCAGGACTGATGGGTCTGCTTCCATGCTCCCTCACATGGATGTTAGCAGGACTCACTTCCTCGCTGGCTGTTGGCTGGAGACTTCAGCTCCTCGCCTCTCCTTAGGGCTACTTACAACGAGATAGCTTGCTTCCCCTAGAGGATCCCAGAGAACAAGAGCCCAAGACAGAAAGCTGTAGTCTTTATAAACTTATCTCAGAAGTGACATACCACTTCTGCCATATGCTCTTGGCCACACAGACCTGACCAGCTGGAATTTGTGGGTGGAATCGCACTATGCAGGAGGTGGGTATCATTGGGAGCCATCTTAGAGGCTGGCTACCATAGTTACCTTGATATCCAAGTTATTAAATGATACTGTATCACGTCTCTGATTTATTTTTTTAATTTCTCATTTAGTCATAGAATTTGTTACCTTGGAATACCTCGGCTCATTGAAGCTTTTTGATGCGTTTTTAAGATCTCTAAAGTATCACAGCAATTTATCTTAAAGTTTATTAAATTTTTTAAAAAGCTTATCAAATAAGTTGTTTGTTAAGTTAGAGCTTCTCAATGTATGATCCAGGGATCTTTGCAGGTCTTCGGGACCCTTTCAGGGGTCAAAACTATCTTTACAATAATGCCAAAATGTTAGTTGAGGTTTTCAGTGCACTGACATTTACACTGATGATGCAAAAACAGTGACGGGTAAAAATTTCTGGTGCTTTAGCGTGACCGTGACCAAGGCAGTGGTAAATTGTACTGGTAGTCATTGTATTCTTCCTTGCCACATGCTTGCAGTTTAAAAAATAAAAAACAGCCAGTTTTAATTAAGAATGTCTTTGATGAAGCAGTAAAAATTACTAATTTTATTAAGTCTTGAGCAGACGTTTTTCCAGTATTTAGTCTGACAATATAGGAAGTTTTTCTGTAGCATTTCTGCTGCATACAAAAACATGATGGTTTTCTTCCCGATAAGTACTTGTGTGATTGAGTTGCATGCTGCTGATCTAGCTGCTTTTGTAATGGAGTACCATTTTTACTTGAAATAACTAACAAACTTTGGTTATTCAGATGTGGTAATCTGGCAGTCACTTCAAGGAGAACAAGTGACAGTATTTGTTGGCAGAGGTAAAATTCAAGCTTTCAGGTGAAAATCAGAATTTTGGAAAACTTATATTCATGTGCTTGGTAGCTTCCCAATATTCAGACTTTTCTGATATGATTGATGGTGATATTAACAACTGTGATTTTAAAAAGATTTTTAATGAATGTATCAACATTTGGAAGATCATGACTCAGTAAACCACTAATTTCCAAATGATCGATGAATTGTATTGCAAAATCATTCATGGGTAACAGATCCATTAAAAGTGCAAGACAGACTAACAGATTTTAATGTAATAACGATGAAGAGTTCACTTGCCAAAGTTTGGTGTAGAGTCAAAGAAGAATGTCCACATTTTCTGAAAGAGCTATTAAAATACTACTCCCTTTTCCAACTTTATATCTGTGTGAGGCCAGATTTTTTAATATATTTCAACCAAAACAACATATCACAACAGAAGAAATGCAGAAGCAGATATGAGAATACCATCTTTCTTCTATTAAACCAGGTATTAAGGAGATTTGGAAAAATGTAAAACAATGCCACCCTTCTCATTAAACTTTTATTAAATAAGTAATTTTTCATAAAGATATGTTATTTATGTTAACCTGTAATGAGTTTGTTATTTTTTAATGAATTAATAAATATTTAAAATTTTTCTCAGTTTTATATTTCTAATACAGTGAATACAACGGATATAACCCACATAAACAAAAGCTCTTTGGGGTCCTCATTAACAGTTTACAGTATAAAGAAAGAATCCTGAGACCAAAAAGTTTGAGAATTGCTTCTGTAAGCTGATAATAATATTGAGACTACACTGGTTTTCTTTTCATAACTAAAAGAGAGATGCCTCAGATTTCTGTGAACAGGAGAGAGTAACATATATGGCATGTTCTTGGGAAGCATTTAGGTGGTGCTTTTGCTGTGTACCTTTGGTAATAGCACCTTGATTTTCTTTGAGGACCTTACCACATTTGAGGGGCTGGTGCATCAGACACAATGTCTTGAAACTTTAATTCTTGAAACAAAAAGCTTTGTCAAGGCTTTTTGAGCATCTGTGCTTCCCATAACAGCCTGGTTTCTTTGGTGAGTTTGCTTTTTTAGCCTTTCTTCATTTCTGTGAGTTTGGTTTTCTCTTCTTATGTCCTTTCTGGCCTTGCCTCTAACATAAACCTATCTCACCTATATTGAAAATCTGTGCTTGGAATTTCCCTTTTGTTTAAGTTAGCCAGAGACCATTGCTATTGCTTAGATGGTAAGAACCTTAACAGAAACATAAGAGAAGAAATTATACTTATTTCAAAAACTTTCAAGTTTTCAAAAAGCAAAGTTTGATCTCTTAAAAAACAAAAACAAATGAAAAAACTTCTCAGGAAATTAATGCATAGTTTTAAAAAAGCTCATAGTACAAACTTCGGAGGCAGACTTTCAATTAAGATTTTGAAAGCATTCACATTTCCCTTCTTGTTTCACAAATTAAACATAGTAGGAGAGCTGTGTTCCAGTTCTGGGAAAGATAGATAAGCATATTCTTCTTTCTTTTATTTATTTATTTTTGGCCACACCACATGGCATGTGTAATCTTAGTTCCCTGACCAGGGATCAAAACTGTGCCCCCTGCAGTGGAAGCACAGAGTCTTAACCATTGGACCCAGGGAAGCCCTTCTTCTGTCTTTCTTAATGCAAGTATAAATCCTGGACAGAATGAATGGAGAACTCAGAAATGTAAAGGGTAGTAAGCTAATGGAGAAGACCAGAATATGAAGGTCCAAACTGGTGATGAGTAGATTACCATTTTTTCCCTTTCCAGTATCACCAGGCCTGGACTTGAAGGATCCTGAAACCTGGAAGTGCACCCCAGGTGTGAATAGAAAGAACTCCAAGAGAGGCTCTCTCTGGTCTGAAGAGCAGGAAAGGGGATCTGCTAAGGATCAGAGAGGGTGGAAGAAATCTCGTTTTTTGGTTTTTTTTTTTCCTTTTTTCCCTTCTCTATCCTAGCACCCAGGCATTACTACACTGGTAGCAGCAGTGACCCAGTGATGACAGTGGCAGGAGAGCAGGCACCTAAACCTAAAGGAAGAGAAGCCCTTCTCTTTAGCAGTGGAGCTGTGACTCCCAGAACTTGAAGTGGATTCCATTCCTTTTTTTTTTTTACTGTCTATCCTGATGCTTAGTCCTGGATGCAGATGCAGTTAGTGTGTGGCAGAATAGGGAAACTAAAGCCCCAGGAATGCAAGGCTGATTCAGTATTTGAAAATCAGTGAATATAATTTACCCTGTTGGTCCAAAGGAAAAACCATATGGTCATATCAATTGAAGCAAAAAAACGTTTGACAAGATTCAACATTAGTTCATGGTAAAAACACTCAGCACACCAGGAATAGAAGGGAACTTCCTCAACCTGATAAAAGGCATCTACAAAAAAAACTACAGGTAACATAGTTAATGGTGAAGAATGGAATGCTTTGACCTTAAGATCCAAAATAAGGCAAAGGTGTCCGTTCTCACCACTTCCACTCTACATCATACCAGCAGACCTAGCCAGTGCAGTAAGTCAAGAAAAAGAAATAAAAGGCAACAGACTGGAAAACAAGGAATAAAATTGTCCCTTTTTCCAGATGACATGGCTATCCATACAGAAAATTCCGTGGAATATACCAAAAAAGCTATAATAAGTAAGTTTAGCCAGACTGCAGGATACAAGATCAACACATAAAATCAATCATATTTTCATATTGCTAGCAGTGAAATGAAATGAAAATGAAAATCTGCAATGAAATTACCAAAACAGTTATTTACAATAGCTCCAAAAAAGAAAAGGAAAATATGTATAAGTCTAACAAAACATGTGTAGGATCTGTATGTGGAAAACAACAAAATGCTGATGAAGAAATCACAACCTATTAAATGGAAAGACATACCCTGTTCATGGATTGGAAGACCTAATATAGTTAAGATGTCAGTTCTCTCCAATTAATCTATGGATTTAATGTAATTCTAATCACAATCTCAGCAGGATTTTCTGTCGATACTGATTCTAAAAGACATATGGTAAGGTTAAAAAAAAGACTAAAATAACGAAAACAATTTTGTAAAAGAAGAATGAAGCTGGAGGACTCACTACCCAATTTTAAGAATTACTATAAAGCTACAGTACTCATGACTGTAGATATATAGATTCGTGAAACAGAAGAGAGAGTCCAGAACTAGACCCACACAAATATGACTGATCAATTTTTAACAAAAAACATGAGGGCATTTCAATGGAAAAAGATATTCAACGGAAAAAGGATAGTCTTCAACAACTGGAATTAAAACAATTGGATGTTCCTATGCAAAAAATAAATGAACTTTGACCTAAAACTCATACCAAAATTGATTCAAAGTGGATCATAATCTGAATGTAAAATGTAAAGCTATAAAACTTTTAGAAGAAAACTTGAAAAAAAAATCTTCATGTCCTGGACTTAGGCAAAAAAGTTTTTAGATATGACACTAAAAGCAAGATCTGCAAGAGCATAAAGTAGACTTCATCAAAATTAAAACTTTTGTTCTGAGAAAAACACTGTTCAGAGAATGAACTCTCAAAATGAACAAGAAAACAAACACCACTATTTTAAAAAAACAACCAAAGAGAATACACAGATAGCAAATAAGCACATGAAAAGATGCTCATCATTTATTTAGTCAATAGGGAAATACAAATTAAAACCACAGAGAATACTGGGACATACCTATGAGAGTGGCTAAACTTTAAAAACTACTAACACTAACAAGTGCTAGTGTGAATGTGGAGCAACTGGAACCCTCATACATTGCTGATGGGGTGCAGAATGGTATAGCCATTCAAGAAAACAGTTTGGCCATTTCTTATAAACATGCATTTTCCAAATGACCCAGCAGTCCCACCCCTGGGTATTTACCTTAGAGAAATGAAGTTATGGTTACACCAAAACCTGTACATAAATGTTTTAACACCTCTATTCATAATCACCAGAATTGCAGACCACCCAACTGTTTTTCCAGTGAGTGAATGGATAAACAAACTGGTACATCCATACAACAGAACACTGCTTCATCAATAAGATAGCAGGAACTACTGATAATGCAACAATACAGATAGATATCCAGGACATTATACTGAGGGAAAGAAGCTAGACTCAAGGCTACATCCTTTAAAAATTAAGCTGTGTGATTTCATATATACTGTATGATTCCATTTATATGACATTCTGAAGAGATGAAACAGTGAAAAGATCAGGGGTTAGGGATGGGGAGGAGGTGACTACAGAGTGCAGCACAAGGGAGGTTTATTTGATCCAAGGTTTTTGGTATCATTGTGGTGGTTACAGAAGTTGATACATGTGTTAGAACAGTATGCCAAAAAAGTTAATTTTACTTTATGCAAGTTAAATAACATTTTAAAATGTAATAGGACCTGGGACTTCCCTGGCGGTCCAGTGGTTAAGACTGCCTTCCAATGCGGGAAGTGTGGGTTCGATCCCTGGTTGGGGACCTAAGATTCCAGTGCCTCGTGGCCAAAGAACCAAAACATAAAACAGAAGCAATATAGTAGCAAATTCAATAAAGACTTTAAAAATGGTCCACATCAAAAAAAATCTTTAAAAAAAAACAATGTAATAGGACCTAAATGATTTATAAAAAGTAAAACCTTTGTATGCTTCAAGAAAATAAGTATAGTCTTAGTATAGTTTTCTGCTGAAAATGATGTAAAAGTGAATATGATGATCTGATTAAAATGAAAAGACTTATTTACTTTGTTCCCTCCCTGGCAGTAGGAACTTAGTGTTGTGCCTGCTTTTCAGAAGCGTTTGACACCAGTTTCCTTTGCCCTGTATGGCTGTGTTCAGCATGTGGAGGACAGAAGCACCAGAGAGTTGTACTTTCTGAATTCCCTTGCTAGTCCTCCTTCTCTTGGTCTGTATGTTTCTCCTTAAATTCTTCCCTGTGAAGACTGAAAATATCTATGGACCAGTTTTTCTTCCCTTTTTCGTGTGTGAGATAGGTTTCTTTGAGACTGGATTTAAGGTAGCTACTTTATCCTGTTAGATAACTCCAGGTGGTCCCAATTTTTCCTTGCTTTTCTAATTTTTAAAAAAAGTGCACATATGTTTTTTAAATATCCTTTTTAATTTTCAATCACTGTTATTTGCCCTCTACATATGTTCTCTTGGGGGGTCTTGACGAAAGGATTCTCCTTTTTCTCTGTGGCTGATGAGACCTTCTCATCCTACCTGAAACTTTGTCCTTTCTTTGCTGCTTGTGGCTGAGCTGGGTTTGTCTCAGCAATTCCCTGCACACTTTAGCTGGAGTTGGCCCGCTGGGGTTTACAGTATGAGAGGCTGTGCTGGTTCTCCTAGCGAACTGGCCTCAGGCCTTTCCTGAATGGAACTAGCAGAACTCTGTGGTCAGCAAATTATTCCCCTCCTCCCCACCCCCCCCCCCCAGTATCTCCTCCTCTCATTCCCCCCATTACATCAAAGCTTTTGCATCCAAAAAGAACAAAACCAGTTGTTCTGGGGACCTGGGATGACTCCTGTCCATTTTGCCTTTCCTTAGGAAGCCCTATTCAGATTGAGTAAATGTCTGTAATCCAGGAGATCAGATTTTGCTTTATCAGCTATTTTTTTTTAATCCAATGTAATGTTGAAAATCTACTACCTTACACACTGAAAGAGCGTACGGTTGTTCATACGCTTGAATAATAATTGTTAGTTTTTAAATACAGGAATTTGATAGAATGTGAAAAAGTTCTTGGGTATGTAAGACTCAGTTTTACTTTTTAGTTGAGCTTATTTTGATATTTGATATTCTAATTATACCTTTCATTATTACAACAGTTTTTAAAAAAGTCTTTTTCCCCCTTTTGTAGGCAGTCATTATTTGTATCAAAAACAAAGAATTTGAAAAGGCTTCAAAAATTTTGAAAAAACATATGTCCAAGGACCCCACAACTCAGGTAAATTTGATATATTTTTGCTCCCGTGACCTAAATCCAGCTCATTGCCTTTTGTGGGGAAACAGGGAAAGGGTTCTCTGTCAGGAATGTTATCTAAATATTCGCCTTTAAATATTCAGCACCTTGAGCATGTTGCCTTTTATCCCGGATAACTTACTGTTAGAATGGCATTTCAAAAATTTGTTTGAAAATTTTACATAAATCATTTACTTGCCCATTACTGTCAGCTTTCTGACAGAACTTTAGTGATCAGCACTGGTATTAACACTTCTGACTTTACATAAATATTGATCCTGCAGACTTGAGAGTCTGCCTTGGTGAGGACTTATCTTCTATTTTCTGGTGTCAAAAGCTCTGTTGGTACCCTGCTCTTATTTTTTTTCCTTTATAAATATAAATTTTCAGTTTTTGAAAAGGTAATACATATATGTAATACAACATTCGAAAGGTACAACAAAAGAGCTTAGTGAAAATTCTCTCATGTCTGACTCAGCCATCTCGTTCCTCTCCTTAGAGGCAACCAATGTTTTTTTCTTTTATTCTTAACAGAGATATTCTGTGCATATGCAAGCAAATAAGTATGCATGTGTGTATATATACAGACATACACATATATCCATTTTTCCTGTTCTTCCCATATACATATGTGAGCATATTCTACACACTAATTTGAGCATTTTGCAAATTGCTTGTTTCCCTTAATATATCTTGGAGATCTTTTTATATTAGTACATAGGGAACTTTTCATCCTTTTTGGTTTTCTTTTTTCGGAAGTTTGAAGATCTTTATGTAAAAGTATAAAGGTACTTTAGATGTTAAGTTCTTCATCCTTTTTTTTTTTATAGCTACATAGTAGCCTACTGTGGCTGGTCAGTAATTTTTTGACTTGTTCTACATTGTGGTAGGCTTCCCTTCTTATATGTGTACCAGTGATAATCATTGACAGCATTGTGAACGTTCTGATAGCTTTGTTTTAACTCATCATCATTTAATTTTTACTGGAGTTTTTCTTTCTCACATTGCAAAAATTGGTCCTTTGTGTAGAAGCTGAGAAATGATCTCCTGAACATTATCCGTGAAAAGAACTTGGCCCACCCTGTTATCCAGAACTTTTCCTACGAAACCTTCCAGCAGAAGATGCTGCGCTTCCTGGAGAGTCACCTGGATGATGCAGAGCCCTACCTCCTCACGGTGGGGCTTGGCCTTCTCTTCCCATAACTGTGATGTAGCCTGGAGGATGTGTAGGCAGTTAGAAAAGGACAGCTCTTTTTTAAAGTGAAAAGACTAAATGTGTGGAAAAAACTGAATTATATGTGCTATCTTTCTTAATTAAATGCCTTAAATATTCAGAAGCAGAGATCCTGGCAGAGGCAAATGCAACATTCCTAGTTTCCCTCACCTCCCATTTTTACTTCCTCTATGTGGCATTCATCTGTGTGGTTAAAGTAGGAGAACATTCAATTACAACTGATGGTGGTTCCCAAAGGAGATGAAATCTGAGTTAAGTTTGGGAGAGGAAGAGTGGTTTGATAGATGTGGTATGATGGGGTTGTTGACAGGAAGGAGGCATAACTGGAGAAAAGTGTGACTAGAGTATGATTAGCAAGAGAGGCCAAATGAAGACATACTTTAACTGGATCAGAGGGATAAGCACAAAGAATGGATGCAGTGAGGCTCAAGACAGCACAGGGAAGAATTAGAACCTAGTCTGTCATAGAAGGTGGACCATGAACTGAGTGAGAGGTTTTTTTTTTTTTTTTTTTGTGGTACGCGGGCTTCTCACTGTTGTGGCCTCTCCCGTTGCGGAGCACAGGCTCTGGACACATAGGCTCAGCGGCCATGGCTCATGGACCTAGCCGCTCCGCGGCATGTGGGATCTTCCCGGACCGGGGCACGAACCCGTGTCCCCTGCATCGGCAGGCGGACTCTCAACCACTGCGCCACCAGGGAAGCCCGAGAGGGTTTTTTTTAAAACAAGGATTTTGAGAGTGTTCAAATTATCCTAGTTCCTAACAGTAGATCTGCAAGGCCCATATCAGGATAGTGTCAGTGATCCTAGCAATCATTTGGCAATTCTCAAAATTATTTGTAAAGCAGATAGTTTGGAGTGTTCAAGGAGCAAGCCTGGCCTAGGAACCCTTCCTTCATATTCAGGTAACTGGAAAATAACCTGTCACTCTTTCTGTTGAGGACAGAATTCTCAGCTCTTAAGATACCACTCCTTACAGACATGCAATCTAAAATGGAATGATACTGGACTGACTGGAAATGTGTAGAAGTTCAGTCTGAGGGTAACAGAGGAGCAGCTGGAGTTAGAGCAAGATTGGCCTACTGAGGGCTTCATGTGGTACAAGTAAGGATTTTCAAAGAGTTGTTAATAGGCAAAACATTTGTGGAAACAATCATGAAAAATTCTATACACAAACTAAAAGACATTAATGTAGACATCAGTCATCCCTAAGTTAAAAAAAAAAAAGATTTGACTTTTGCATATGACCCCAAAGGTCTATTAGGTATTCAGAAACTAAATTAGGGATGAGATTGGAAGGATAGAAGAGGAGATACAAAGTAAAATCATTTAAGTATTTGTTGTCCAAAATAACCTTTCAGAATTCTTGGAACATCAAGATGCTTTTAGCACCACTCAGGTTGAGTTCTCCTTTAGTATAGAAAACTGTGAGCCACTTTTTGAGGGAAGGGAGGAAGAAATTTGAGATAATTCTTGTAAGTTCGATCCCTTTTTATGTCCTCCTCTAGTCTCTGCCTAAATTGGGTTTGTAAGTGAGCATGCTTGCATATTGAGTATGTTCATGGTGAAAGAAGCAGTTAATGAAATTCTGTGACTTCCTCTTCCTGACGACATCTTTCCTTTCCCAGATGGCCAAAAAGGCTTTGAAATCTGAGTCTTCCACCTCAACCACAGTGAAGGAAGATAAACAGCCAGCACCAGAGCCTGTTGAAAAGCCACTCAGAGAACCTGCCAGGTGAGAGAGATGCCCTTTTGTGATGTTGGCTGAAACACTGGGGTGATGTGTGGGAAGCATAGTCGTCATCTTCGAGCAGGATCAGTGGTTTGACCTCTTAACATGTTACTGGGTTACTCGTGGAAGGCACTGTGGGATTTACAGAGCACATCCTGGGAAGATGGGAATATTGAAAACGGGACGTCAGATCCTTGGCAGAAGTTCCTGACTGGCTATTACTCAAAGGTTCTTTCCTTCTGTTTCTCTCTCCTTGCCTCACCTGTATCTACTCAGTACTTCCCTGTTGATACCTCATCTCTTAATGCAGTGCTCACACTTGTGAATCAGATTCCCAGGACCAGTTAACAAAGCAGAGGTCACACGTTTAGATGTCTTTGGGGGCCCAGTAGGAGATGTAAAGGAGCAAAGTGGGTCTAGGATAATACAGTTGAGAGCACGGGACTGGGACACAGAGAGGGCATGCTTTCCAGCTTCATGTGATTGTTGCTACGTGAGCTGTCCAAAGATGTCCAAACTTCAGTTCAAATTTTTATGTGAGACGTCCAAAAATTTTTTTTTGAGATTTCCCAATTTTTGAATGTTGGCGGTTAGTCCAATTAAAAAAAAAAAAAAAACTTGAATAGCTTAGACAAGACACATCTGCCAGCTGGGTTTGGCCTGCAGGCTGCCAGTTTGCCCTCTCCTAACAGTTTTTACTTAAAACATCCAAATGGTAGATGAACTTTATTTTGAAAAGGCAGTTTCTCCAAGACTGTGTGGCACTCTTCTCACTCTGAGAATTCTCAAGATCCCATTTATAAGTGTAGTGTAGGAGAAAGAGGGCAGAATGGAGGCCAGTCTTTTACTTCTCTCACATGAGGGTTGGACTAGGACAGCTGGAAGAAGAGTTTAGACTTCAAGGTGAGATTGCTGGATTATCAGTTGGTTGTCCAGATGGATTGTAGTTGTTAGGCACTACACAGAGTTCTTGCATTGTGGAAAGCACCACTTTAGTCCATGCAGACTAATGGGTTAGACAGCACACAGGCTGAAGAGGTCTCTGGAGGGAGTATCATTGGCCCTAGTTCCTTTAGGGTTCTCTTACTTGAAGTTTAAGCTCCATAGTTCAACTTACATATCATATTTGAAGCCTCTGTTTAACACTTATAAATGGAAGCTTTTATAAATAAAGCTTGTATCACGCACCCTCTCTGTTTTTGTTTTTTTTTAATGAAGAGTTCTCAACGTGAGGAGTTTCTAATTTGAAGCTTCCCACTTTGAAAAAGTTGTGGCTGCTTGGACAAGCATCCACAATGGTGAAACTGATCTCTGTTATGTTTGCATTATTTGTAGGCAGCTACAGAACACTCCAACCACCATTGGAATTACGGCTCTGAAAGCAGCTTTCAAGACTCTGTCCAGTGCACAAGATTCTGAGGCAGTCTTCTCAAAACTGGACCAGAAAGATATGGTATTTCCTAATAAAGTGTGCCCACCATCACCAGCCCTCAAAAACAAGAGACCGAGAAAAGATGAAAACGAAAGTTCAGCCCCTGCTGAGGGTGAGGGTGGCTCTGAACTGCAGCCCAAGAACAAGCGCATGACAATAAGCCGATTGGTTTTGGAGGAGGACAGCCAGAGCACTGAGCCCAGCGCAGGCCTCGACTCCTCCCAGGAAGTCATTCCTGCTTCACCATCCAAGCCCACCATCCTCAACCAACCCCTCCCTGGGGAGAAGAATCCCAAGTATGAAGACCTTCTTTGTAGAAGTTTGGGGGCTGGTTGGTGGTCCTGGTTATGCCTGGTATTGCTTCCGGGAATGAAGTAACTTTCAGCTAAGTTATTCACCACCAAGGCTTGCTCAGACTGCTAGAATGTGACTCAGGGTGGGGAGTGACGTCGTAGCCATCCTGCCAGTTCTGATGCCCCGCATGTGGGCTTCCAGGCATTGCACTAGGCAGGAGTGAGGGTGAAAGGGTGTCAGAGCCTCCTACTCACCGCTGCTTCCATTTTTAGCAAACTTCTGAGTGCCTTGACTACTAAATATTAGTCTTGTTTGTTAAAGGAAGTTTGTTTGAATTGGGCCACGTTATACTTTGATCCTTAAAAGAGATTTATGAATATTTATAGTTTTGCACGTTCTGTGAGCATTTTGAGACTTGGCAAATTCAGTAATTACTAATCTCTCACATTCTGCTAGGTTCTGTGGGGCAGTGGTTAGAATGCTTTCATTTTGCTCCCCATCATGACCCCCAACCTGGCTTTCAGTTTTGCTACCATTTGTGCCCTCTTGTGGATCTTTCCTCTAGGCAAACTGGTCTGCTTGCTCTCCCTGGAACCCTGTTTCTACTACTGTACTCTTCTTGCTGCCTCTCATTCCCCACATTCGGACTATCATTCCTCCACCATTGCTTATCAAAATCCCATCTGTCTTTCAAAGAGAAGAGAAGCTGATGTTGACTAAATACTTTCTGCGGGCCAAGCACTTTCACATATTATCTTACTGAATATCTACACTCACTCTGTGAGTGATTTACTAGCCCCACTTTATAGGTGAGGAAGGTTCAGAAAAGTTACTAACTTAACCTGAAGTCACACAGATAAAAAATGGCAAAATTGGGCTTTGAGATTTTTAATCCCAGTCAGTCTTGACACAAAAGCCCGTGGCCTGTATACCACGTACACCAAGCTGCCTCTTAAAACTCTGCCTCCTCCATAAATTTCCCCTGGTCACCCTGCTGTCAGTGATCACCTCACTGATCTCCCACGGTTATTGCCATCTCTACTACTGCTCTCTGTTACAGCTGTTGGGGGACCTGTGTCCTGGCATGCTTGTGCTGGGTGCCCTGTAGGGCTGTAGCATCTGATAAATGATTTATACTCGGGCACAAATCTGCACTATATGCACCACTTCCTGCATCTGGAAGTGAGTGAGTCATTGGCTGGGCAGGCAGATGCAGTCAGCACACTATTGCTCTCATTTGATACCTGATCTCCTCTACCCCTCACAGCAATTCTATGAAGTATAAGTATTGCTCCCATGAACAGACAAGGAAACTGGAGAGAGTGCATGATTACAGTGGTTTTATAAATGGGAGACTCTGTGAAGGTTTCAGATATACCTCTCTCATGTGTCAAGGGTATGAAGTATGATGGGTACTCTCAAGCAGAGGTGGGCAAATTATGGCCCCTTGGCTAAATCCACCTGCTGCCTGTTTTTGTAAATAAAGTTTATTGGAACACAGCCACACCCATGAATTTTGTATTATCTGTGGCTGCTTTTGATGCTACCTTGAGTTGAGTAGTTGCAACAAAGACAGTAAGGCCTGCAAAGCTGAAGGTACTACTGGCCCTTTACAAAAAAAAGGGATCCTATGACCCCGGCTCTAAACGAAGCATATGTGAGGTGCCTTGGGAGCTGCAGGGAAGAAGAGCTGGGCCTGGGCAGCAGAGTTGTGGGTGGAGCAACCTTGCTGAGGAGCAAGTGTTGAGCTGGCCTTGAAGAATGAGTAGGAGGTCATCCAGTAATATTGGGAGGTCGGTTCTAGGAAACAGGAGCCTCTTGAATTACAGCATGAGAAAGCCTGGTATGAGCCGGAAAATGTCATGTAGTCTGTATGGCAGGAGAATATAGGGCACAGAGAGGATGAAGGGAGAAAAGTCTGGATGGGTAGATGGGCCAGATTTTGAGTTCCTATTATATTCTATCAGGCAGAGGTTCTCAAGAGGGGCTTCATATCACAATTACCTGTGCAGTGTTTAAAAAAATATATATTCCCAGGCTCCTGTCTACTGAATTAGAAGGGACAGGGTAGTGTTCTCTAATCTGCTTTGCTAACTGTGCCCCAGATAAGTCTAATACACCTAATCAGAAAGCCTCTGAGCAGACACCACTGAGGGCTTTTGAACAGACACTGAGGGAAAGGAGAAGAGGAGGGTGGCTGGAGACTGCTGCCCAGTGAGCAGTCAGGACCCAGGGGAAGCTGGGCCAGTGGAATCTGAGGAGGGGAAGGCAGGATTAGGGTCTATCACCTAGACGGCAGGGCCACGACTACTATATTTTTATATCCCCCACAGCACAGAACTAGTGCTTACTAGATAGTTTACTAACCAAACAAAGTAACAGTTCTTGGTTCTTGCAATTTAAGGGGCCACATACAAAACTTCTATAAAAGGCTAGCAAAGGGTAAACATTTTAGGCTTTGTGTCTCTGTTGCATATTCTTCTGTTTTGGTTTTTTTTTTTTTTACACAACCCTTTGGAAAATGTAAAAACCATTCTTAGTTCAAGGGCTATACAAAACCAGCAGCCACAGGCTGTAGTTTGCCAACCCCTCTAGACCATTAAGTTTTAACTTCGCCAGTCAGGAGCGCAATGAGCCAGGAAGTGACCCGGCTTGCCCTCACGGCCACCTAACAGTTAAGATGAGGACCAAGGTCTCAGCCCCTTCCACAACATGAGAAGTTAAGAAATACCAAAATGTTTATACATGTAATAGCAAATGCTGAGTTCAGAGGAGGAGCAGAAAGTTACCAAGTGATCTGCAAAGACTGTCTGCAGGAAGGGTGAATAGCCACTTAGGTGAAAATGATGGACCCTGAGGTTAAAATCAGTTTTTATCCCAGGACTTGGATAAATAGATGGAAAACTGAAACTGTAATGCTGTCTGACCTTTATTTATGAATAGTAATTGACACAGCTAATATCCTGAGAAGAAAAAAACTCGTGTAATTTTTTTTTTGTCTCAAGCAAATCAGTTATTCTTAGAAATAACCCTTTGGGGGATATGATCCAATTTAAAAATAAAGAAAAGTAAAGAGTCCACCATTTGTCCCAGCCACTTAGGTAATTGCATAGAAAACTCATGGAACTCAAGGAATTTTTTTCATGTTTATGCACTTATTAAGCAAACTGCTTTCATTTGCAAAATACCCAGACAGCCTTAAAAATAAATTTTTTTTATAGCGGGGAAGGAAACAACAGTTTGTTTCTACTCTCTTGGTCAGGTTTTTTGGTGACTTTGATCTATATAAATTCTTCAAAACTTAGTTCAGATACTTTCCATGTTTGTTTTGTAAAGGATGTTATAATTCTGAGGTCAGATTTGTGCTATGTTCTGTAAGAGTGACTATAATTTTCATTTATTTAATAACTTGGGTTTTGGATTATTTTTCAGGTTTGGGACTGTTTTTGGTTGCACCCAAGTACTCAAAATTTCATGTTGACAGGAATGATTCTTGTTTGCTTACTATTCTAATCTTTGATGGTATAAGTCCTTTACAGTTCTTTGATAATCTCATTATTAGTTTAGCTAGTATCTCTCCAGCTTCTATGAGGGTGTGTGTTACTGTGCCCGGTGTTTGGAGTAGACAAATGAGGATATGGTCCCTGCCGTCAAGGTGCTTATGGTTAAGGGTATGTCGTGATACGGTTGTGTAATAAAGTGGAAGCACTATCATAAGGGCAGAGGAGCGGGGGCTTTTTGTATGTGTTGGGCAGTCTTCATTGAGAACGATGGCCTTGAAAGATGGGCAGGACTTCACTTGGCAGGGAAGGGAATCCCAAGGAGAGAGAACAGCAAATAGAGAGGCAGGAAAGCACAGAACTTACAGGAGGAAGGAGGAGCAGAGGGCTGTGTGGGTGTTGGTGGGGACAGGAGGAACTGCTGAGAAACTGACAGGCCAGACTGCATGATCTTGATTCCCCCATATGGGCATTTAGGCTTCATTGTTTAGGCAGTGAGGAGCCATCACTGAATAGGGGAGGGATGTGGTAATTTTAGGATGATTGTTCAGGTGGCTTTGGAAGGGTAAGGGGCTAGTGGGGAGAGACTCCAGTTAAGAGGCTAGTGTAATACTGGTGAAAGGTATTGGACCATGGGCTTGGACTAGGGGAATGGGGAGGGAAAGGAGAACAGTCCAGAGATAGGAATAGAGCATGTCTGTGATGGAGGGGAAGGAATTTGCAGCTCTAGGTTAGAAGAATGCTGAAATCTGTAATAGAGTCCAAACCAAACCAACCAACCAACCAAACAACAGGAAAATGAACAGATCATTGAGGGGGATGGTGATGTATCCAGTGCTGAGTTTGAGAGATGGTCCTGAAACCTGGGGGATGTTGACATGGAGAGGCCTGGCCAGGTCAAGATTTGGGAGTTGTGTGTAGGTGAATCTCGAATGTGGTCACAGCAGAACAGGGAGGAATACAGGGCCACGAGTAGAGCTAAGGACAGAGTATGGGATGACCTGGGATGACTTTGTTTTACACCTTGTCCTCTCGCTGATGTTCCCTCAGAGTACCCAAAGGCAAGTGGAACAACTCTAATGGGGTTGAAGAAAAAGAGACTTGGGTAGAAGAGGACGAACTGTTTCAAGTTCAGGGTAAGCCAGAAGATTCTCATTGGTCTCTCCTTGACACTTGCTGAAGTGTAGGTGCATGTTACTGTCACATCAATGTTCCAGAAATTGCTTGTCTCCAAACTAGAAAAAGTTTAAAAGTTCCTCATTGTGATTCATGAGGAATCAGTTTTATGTCTTTTCCCATTAAACAATGGAGACTATCAAAGCAACGCTTTATATTTAAAGAAAACTCCTGGTTTGGTTTAATAAATCCTATATTTAATTGTAGTTGATGTTCTTCCTAAAGTTTTTTAATTAGAAAAGGTAGAAGTGGTCATTCCTTACATGTCTTATTTAAGTAAATAATCTCTTACCCGTTTCTATATATGTGTTTTTTTCTAAGATGAGAAACTTTACTTTTCCTTAATTAATATTGAACTTCATAGTATTTGCATTAGGATCTCTCCCACCACATATTTTGCTCTCTGATGGAAATATATACATGCTAAACCTTAGTTTTGGAGATTCTGAAGACTTCTGTAACACAGCAGCAACAGTAATCCTTTGCCAACCTCAAAGGTTTTGCCCTTAAAAATGACCTTTCATTGGCAAAAGCATAGTTGGGAAAATCAAGATTACATAGAAAATGGGAGAAGTAACAATAAAAGTGGCATTAAATATTTTAAGAACAGGATATAAAAGTTCTAGAAAACATCCACTTCTGATGCAGTCCAGATTTGTCAGTTTCAGAAATCGGCTTCTACTATATCATGAAATACTTCATAATTTAAAAATAAATAATGTGCTCCTGTAAGTATCCCTTTTCCTGAGTCACCTTTCTTCACTCTTCAGGAAGCATTACTGGGACAGTGGCATCTGCTGAGGCAGACACTGTAGCAAGTTTCACATTTATGCAACTTTGCCTTTTCTTGCAGCTTTTTAACTGGCTCTTGTTGGCTTGAGATGGCATGTCCATTATACTTGTATACCCTCCTGTAGCCCCCTGGTCCTTTAAAATATTATCTTGGTCCCTGTTTTTGAGGCCTGATCTATTTCCATAGGATAAGAGGGTAGAGTTTGACCAGATCTCACATGGTCTGTCGGAGTGGGAAGCAATAATCATTACCCCGTTCTTTATGTTTGAAGAATTGAGCCAAATTTTTTAAAAAATGTATTTATTTATTTAGTTTTGGCTATGTTGGGTCTTTGTTGCTGTGTGCGTGTTTTCTCTAGTTGTGGCGAGTGGGGGCTACTCTTCGTTGCAGTGCATGGGCTTCTCATTGTGGTGGCTTCTCGTTGCGGAGCACAGGGTCTAGGCACACGGGCTTCAGTAGTTGTGGCTCACGGGCTCAGTATTTGTGGCTCATGGTCTCTAGAGCACAGGCTCAATAGTTGTGGCGCACAGGCTTAGCTGCTCTGCAGCATGTGGGATCTTCCCGGACCAGGGCTCGAACCCATGTCCCCTGCATTGGCAGGTGGATTCTCAACCACTGCGCCACCAGGGAAGCCCCCAAATTTTACTTATATCTAACAATCAAGGATTTGGAAATTCAAAAACAGTAAAACTGTGTTATTTCAAAGCAGTAATTAACAAGGGGTTATAAAGCAGAAATTATATATGTACATAAACACACTCAAATATGTGTATATATATATACACATATATATTACATACACATGCATATATATATATATATGCATGTGTATATATATATATTAGGATTTTAAATACCACAGTTCCTCAGTAAGTTGAGAAAATGATAGTGCTTTTACTAAAGAGCCTGAAATCCATCATTAACCAACATTTATTGAATGCCTGATTGTAAAGTATTTGCTTTGTACAGATTCTCATGGACTGAAATGATTGGTATCTTGCAAGCAGAGGACAAAACCAAATTATCCTTTAGTGATGTCCTTTCTTTTCTCAAAGTTTGTAAAATTTGAATCAAGTTTTCCCTTTGGAGACGTTCTATGTCTTTTTCTTATGGTTTGTGCCGAGGAGGTAAGCTCTGAAATGAGTCTACTTTTAATGTTTTCCAGCAGCACCAGATGAAGAGAGTACAACCAATATAACAAGAAAGCAGGTAATTTTAAATTCTCTTTTCTGATCTTTTCTGGTTGTGTAGGTAGAAGAGAGATAAAATAAGTACCCACATCTCACAGGCATAGACTACCCATGCACCTGGTAAAAAATTTTATTTGTCATTTTCAGATAATCCAAACTAAGTTAAATACTCTCTGGAAGAAAAATCTAGGTGGTCAGAAAGCTGACGCATTTCCTAACCATGAACAACACACGTTTGAAATTTTTTTTTTTTTTTTTTGCGGTACATGGGCCTCTCACTGCTGTGGCCTCTCCCGTTGCGGACCACAGGCTCCGGACGCGCAGGCTTAGCGGCCATGGCTCACGGGCCCAGCTGCTCCGCGGCATGTGGTATCTTCCCGGACCGGGGCACGAACCCGTGTCCCCTGCATTGGCAGGCGGACTCCCAACCACTGCGCCACCAGGGAAGCCCACGTTTGAAATTTTGAATCCAGAAATGGTTATCAGTTGAGGATGAAATGGCAGGACACTGAAAATTAGGAAATGTCCAAATCCATGGTGTTAACGTATATTCTATATCATGTTTTAAAAGTATAAATCCTTCCTTTGGGTTCAGATTATTCTCCTAGGATTGAGTTTACCTCTTTACTATATGAAAATATAAATAAGTGGAAACACAGGTTGTGATAAATCCTTTGTTTTTTTGTTTTTTTTTGCAGAAGTGGACTGTAGAGGAAAGCGAGTGGGTCAAGGCTGGAGTGCAGAAGTACGGGGAAGGAAACTGGGCCGCCATTTCTAAAAACTACCCATTTGTTAACCGAACAGCTGTGATGATTAAGGATCGCTGGCGGACCATGAAAAGACTTGGCATGAACTGAAACAGGCCTTCATTTCCACAGAATTCACAGGAGCATGGTTCCTAATAATAGCCCCTGGTAGTCTGCTGTTTCTTTCAGAAGCTGGGCTGGGATGAGAATTTTGGGCATCTTCCTCCCATGTGGGGGAGGTTCCAGTTCCACTTCATCACAGTTGGAGATCATGGAGCTGAGAAACAAAGCCAAGTCCACCCCATGTCCTTGACAGAGATGACAGGCACATAGCTTGTACAGTGCCAGAATACCATTAGTATTTCCCTTCTTTAGTGGTTTGCTTGAATTTAAATCCCTGGTAATCAGTAGAACCTTCTCCTAGGAAATGGTGGAGTCTGTTAGGAGTCACTTTTGACTCCATGACCTGTTAAAACCAGCAACATGAGCATTACTTGGAGCGAACTTGTTCCAGGTAAAGCTTTGGCCTTCTGATGCACATGCAAAGGAACTTCATCTGTCATGAGCCCAGGTTGATGAGAAACCAGTCCTGGTGGAATCAGAGTCCCTTTAAAAATTGTTTAGCCAGTTGTGACATCAACTCCTAGACGTGACTGCCTTGGCATTTGCTCTATTTGCTGGGCTATGTAGGCAGGTTTAACCTCCACTTCTCACGTGGTTGAACCAGTGTGTTTTTTGGTAAAATGGTGATTGTAGATAAGCTTAGCCCCTCTCCCCATCCTCTCTTCCCAATTCCCTTCTTTATGCTGGACTTTTAAAGCTTAAAAAAATCCTGATTGAGTATAAATGCCTAATTCCATTCTTTGTGAAATGGTTGCTTCCGCCTGATTCCCTAATTGTGCTGTGTTAGTGTCTTGCACTGGAATTCAACATTCCCTTCTCCTTTTGTACTGTGTTGTGCTTGCTGTCTCTCAGACATCCTTAAAGACTGTCTTTTTAGGAAAAAAGAATTTCAGTAAAGTGTTTTCTGTAATTTTTTTAAAATGAGAATTATTGTCCATAACTTGTAGCATTCTTCATTAAAGTCTTGCTTCTCTCAAATTTAAGTAGCTGTTTATTGCAGCTGAAAAGATGGAGGTAGCAAAATGTTGAACAAGCTTTGCTAAACCATATTGTCCATGTTAAGAAGCTGATGTCAAACTGTATTGGATGTTCTAATCCTTGGAAGCTGTGCCATACAGAGATGTGAAAGTTTCCTCTTAATTTGTCCATTTCTTCATATAACGTACCTCCGGGGACAAAATAATTCCTTTTTTCTCACTTTTGAGTGAGGGAAAGGCAAGATGTAAAGAAATGCTAAAGTTTAAAAATTCATCCTATAGTTGAAATTTGGAAACTTTGTACAGCTTTATTACCTATTAACTACGTGTTTGGGGGTTGGGTACTGCTGTTTTTCTAGCAATTAACCCCAAATGAAACTACAGTGAGGAGGCAAGAACTTGATCTCCACTCGATCTGGTTGTAGATACTTGTGATCTCCCTCCAAACCAAGCTTTAGGATCCAGAAGCTTTTTACCTTCAACTCTCACATTGTTAGATGGCGCTCTCTAGGTAGAAGAATGACACTGTGATACATTTAAGGAAGCAAAATATCCTAATCGTGTTTCTCAAAATTTGAGAAATGCATAGATCCATTAACATTTTTTAATATAACTTCAATGCTATCTTTATTATGTTATAAAATGTATACAGACATAAAACTCTGCCTACAGTTTCTATAGAACTATACAACTTACTATGAACTGGTGATTGTTTTGCTGAATCTAAGTCACTGCTCACCACATGAGTAGTGCTAGGACTGTGGCAGTGGTGGGACTCTGGTGGGGATGCCTGTGCCACTATGTACCGAGAAATGATCCCAGTCTCTCCCACCTTCACCTTAGTGAGACTGCTGCAGAGCCTCTGTGCCTCCAGACTGCTGTGATGTCATCTGGCCTTTGCTGGAACTGAACACAATTATGAAATGTGTTCTTCATAACATAACACATAGCTGTGACAGTTAAAGTATTACCACTTGGAGTCACTGTGATGCCTTCTGAAGCAATACTTGGTTAGAAGGTACTCATGCTGTTTTGTTTTTTAAGATTATGGCTGAGATAAAAACATTTAGACATTGTCAGAACTCAGAGACTAACAGACACACTGTCCTGATGGGTAAGAGTCTGAGGCCCACTCAGGGCCCCAGCTGTGCCAGCTGTTCTTGGAGATGGTGAGTTAGCCACTGGAATCTCTGGATGTCCATTTCCTCATCTCTAATGTAGTAGGTAATAGTACTTCTCACAACAGTAGGCTGTTGTGAGAATAAAATAAGATGCACGTAACTGTCTCCGCCATGAAGTCAGCCTTTTTCCCCCTGTGGGTGCTGAAGAAGCCACAGATAAAAGAAAGATCAAGGGTTTGAACAATAGTCTTTTTATTTATTTATTTGTTTATTTATTTATTTTTTGGGGCTGCACTGGGTCTTTGTTGCTGCATGCGGGCTTTCTCTAGTTGCGGCGAGCGGGGCTACTCTTCGTTTTGGTGAGCGGGCTTCTCATTGCTGTGGCTTCTCGTTGCAGAGCACAGGCTCTAGGCATGTGGGCTTCAGTAGTTGTGGCACGAGGGCTCAGTAGTTGTGGCTCACAGGCTCTAAAGCGCAGGCTCAGTAGTTGTGGCACACGGGCATAGGTAGCTCCGCGGCATGTGGGATCTTCCCGGACCAGGGATGGAACCTGTGTCCCCTGCATTGGCAGGCAGATTGTTAACCACGGCGCCACCAGGGAAGTCCCTGTAATAGTCTTTAAGTGGATTTTGGATAGCTTTAGATGACTGTATCAGTCAGGTGGAAGGTAGCAGAATGAGGATTATCAGTGGAGGGGTTTGACCACTGTCTCTTGCTCATTCTTCATCCATTTAAATTTTTACACACACTTCCATGCTGTGCTTTGCTCGCCTAAACTGTAGCACTGGGCAGAAAGAGGTCTGTTGAAACAGGTTTTGCCCCTCACGTCTTATAGGAGGGACACGTATCATCTAGCAATTTGATACGAATGAGAAAAATCTCCCCAGCCACTGTGTACCGAGAAATGAGTCCGTACATTCAGGTGGTTGTAAATAAATTTGCCTAATGTTTACCCCCAAGAGGCAAGAACTGAAAAATGACAGCCCAGAGGAGGGGTGGAAATCTCTCTTCTGAAGTAATAGATTCTACCTAGCACCCGTGATGTAGGTCTGGTAAGCCACTGAGTTTTTGAGGTGAAAGCAAAATTCTTTCCTGTGAGCCAAACGTGGGGTACCATGCCAGTTCTATTCTGGAATATCTATGTGTGGCCCTGAGACTGGCCTATGTGTGACTTGCAGAGTTAATGATTATCCCAGCAGTTGTCTAAACTGCTTGGTTCCACTGGGCTGCTGCAAGCAGTTAGAGCAGTCTCCAGAGAGCAGCATGTTCCCCTTGCTCTTTGGTGCTGGACTGGTGGTTCTGAACCTAGTGAGCTCTGCAAGGAGCCAGAAGACAGAACCTCTTAGTGGCTCTGGGGACCAGCCCCTCTTCCGTGGTGCGGATCGATACGACTTTGCCATCGTGATCCCTCCAGGAGGCACAGAATGCTTTTGGCAATTTGCCCACCAGACTGGATACTTCTATTTCAGTTATGAGGTGGGTCATACTGGGGACTTGTTTTTCTTGTTTGTTCATTTCCTTTTGTAAAGGGGGTCAGGTTTTAAATGAACACAAGGTTCTAGTTGTCTTTATTATGCTGTGACTCCCCACCTGTTAATGAAACAGACCTGCAGTTAAATGGAAACTCCTGATGGATGAATAATCACTAAAACATATGGTTTGGCTTCTCAAATTGGGGGCTGTGGAAGTGTGCTCAAAGTCATGGGACAAACGGGGTGCCTCTTCCTGGAGAGGTAATCATCACACTTACTCGAGTTTAGAGATAGGAGGCGAAAGAATCCATTTTTTAAATATTAAAATAATATGGATATGGTACCAAGTTGAATGAAAAGTCACATGAACTTTGGAGACAAACCCAGAGATTTCAAAGACGCTTCAGTTTATGAGGTTGGGGGAGCAACATTTACTCTCTTGCCTTTAGGGGTAATTCCAGCAAATTGGAGAATCAGTAACTCAAGGCTTCTCTATGCAGTCAGACCTGTTGCTTTTAGGAAGGTAAATGTTTTCAAGTTGCCTGTTCACAGGCCAAGTACTTTAATCCATGCTGTGCCCAAGGATGGTCTGCTCAACAGTAAACTTAGAAGCTGTTCATTTCCTTTGTTCTTTATCTTAGAAACCTATTAACTTTCTAAATTTTGTTTACAGAGTAAAAGACTATGTTGATCTTATTCTACTCCAATGTAACTTACAATTTATTTTAAATTAACCTATCAGAGATTTTTCTTATCTCTGAATTTATAATAGAATAGTAGCTACTAGTCAGGTCACTGTAGCCTGGGCTTATCAAGACGCAGCTTGGAGGCAAGTACCTATTGAATGCCTTATTTATTTACTGTCAAGCATCAAATAAGCCCAAATCTGGTATACCACTGGGGAGGTCAAAACCAAGTGAGTTCTGCCAAGAACTCTACAGCCAGATTCATATACACCAACATGTCAGCTGCATGGTCTGAGACGTGTTTTCTTACCAGGGGTGCTATTGGCATTTGGGTCATTTCTTTGTCCTGCTTACTATTTCTAACACGGCAGGCTATTCAGCATTGCTGTCCCCGCCCCCCTTCCCCTACTCACAACACCAGGGCAACGTCTCAGCCCAAATTCAAAGTGGGGGTTGGGCAGTACCATCCCTGATTGAGAACCACTGTGCTGATGGTCACTGGATGTCAATCTTACCATTCAGCTAGCTTCCTGATGATGCAGCAGGAGCTTTTCTCCCTCTTTCATGTGTCTCGGCAGGTTCAGCGGACACTGGGAATGTCACATGACCGGCATGTTGCTGCCACTGCACATACCCCACAGGGTTTCCTTATAGACACCACTAAGAATGTTCGGGGCCAGATTAACTTCTCCACCCAAGAGACAGGTCTGTTTTCGTCATCACGGCTATTATAATAATCATACGTTTCTTTGAAATTGGGAAAATAATGAGGAAATATTGAACTTAATTAAGTACCTGAGATGTAAAAGCTCTGGCTTTTTCACATATGCATGGTGAAATAGTAAGAAAAAGATTTAGCCTTCAACACCAAAAACCAGATTTCCTGGAGACTGCCAATGGCCAAGGACATTAATCAGCGGTCCACTGGCAGTTTGGAAGCAGTCTCCAGGTGACTAATTATTATAACTCCAGGGTCCAGAAGCTCGATTTTATCTTATCATCTCCAACGAACCAGATTATTGGAAAGTGATCAAAACAGGCAGACCCACTTATGATACAGAATTCCAATTAATAAATTTATTATGGGACAGTATTTCTTTTCAGTCATCAAAACACTTGAGCCGGTTACCAAAAAGCAGAACACAAGGAAATGCATGGCCATGAAAAATATCCGCATTCTACAACAAAGCACTTCTCCAGTCACCAGAAAATTCCTACAGCCAGATCGAGCCTGTCCTCACCCTGGACGGCACCAGTCAGTTTGAACTGTCCTCTCTACCAGCCAGGTGCACAAAAAAAGACTATTTCTCAACAGGGACGTAAGAGAATCACTGAGTGGCACAGGATATTCAGCATTATTATGCAGGATCTTTGGCCCCTACGTAGTGCCTTCCAGTCATTTCGACAATCAAATACACTGCCACACCTTTCCAACCCTGCTCCTCCTCACTCCTCCCCCATCACCACATGCGGGGAGGTGACCCCAGTTGAGAACAAGCACCAGTACATACCCCAATCATCAGCCCCCATACAGACCACCTTGCAGGAAGTTACTCCAGTAGGATAGCTTCTTTCATTCACAAAGCATACATTTCTTCCCTACTTTCAAATTCAAATGATATCCCAACTCTCATGGTATGCAAGAAGCAAACCCTATGCTCTTAATATGCTCTTGATCAGAAATTCCTTAAGAGATGTGGGAATTATACGTTGAAAAAGAGGAAGAAAACATTTTCTATCCAACACAGAGCTAAAGCTACTAATATTTGGCAAAACAATATTATAAATAATTAGTAAAATAAGTTTCAAGTAAGATCAGTATCTTCCACATCAAAAACTGGATTTTGTACTTCCTAAGTAAAAAGAAGGTGCTATAGTAGCACATTTAACACTGGAGAAGAGTTATCTCCAGGGAAATCTAGAGGGTGGGAGGGTGGGAGACCAAGATTTGGTAATGATCTAGGGATTCCTACAGGTTTTTATCAGCTTTGTCTAAAAAATCAGCAAAATCACTTTGGTTCTGTGCAAGTATACCTCAATTTTGGAGTCTTCTATGAGGGGCCTGAGATGGACCACAAAGAGAAGAATGAAAGAAAACAACTGAATGATACTTTGGATGCAATTGAGGTAACTGTTTTGTGGGAGAGAAACATCCATGGAAACTGACTTTAAATTTGGAGGAAAGATTAGAATTATGGGAGTAATATCATCAGAGTGAGGGCTCATTTGGGTAGAAAACAAACAGGCAAAGGGATTTGAAGCCTTTAATTTTGTGACTTGGAGCTCTTGAAATTCCTCACTTGTTTTATACCACGAATTGGCAAACAACGGTTCACAGGCCAAATCTGGCCCACTGCCTGTTTGTTTTTTAACTTAGATACAATTCACCACTTTAAGTGTACAGTTTAGTGGTTTACAAGGTCCTGCAACCATTACCAGCATCTAATTCCAGAATAGTTTCATCACCCCAAAAAGAAACTGCAGACCTATTATTCACTCTGTGTTCCTCATGCCCCTCAGCCCTGGGTAATCCCTCACTAATCTACTTTGTTTATATAGATTTGCCTGTTCTGTACACTTCATATAAGTGGAATCATACAATGTGACCTTTTGTCTTTGGCTTCTTTTATTTAGCATGTTTTTAAGGTTCATCCACATTGTACCATGTATTAATACTTCATTCCTTTTTCTGGATGTATAGTATTCTATTGTATATTTAAAACACATTTTGTTTATCTACTTATCAGCTGGTAGACATCTGGGTTATTTCCACTTTCTGGCTATCATGAACAATGCTGCTGTGAGCATTTGCCTACAAATTTTTGTGTGAACATGCTTTCATCTCTGTACACATATAAGCGGTATACGCTGCTGGCACATATGGTAACTTTTTACCTTCACTGAGGAACTGCTATATTCCACAGTGGCTAAACCATTTTACACTCCCACCAGCAGTGTATGAGTGTTGCAATTTCTCCATATCCCTGCCAACATGTTATAGTCTTTTTTGCTATAGCAATCCTAGTGGGTATAAGTGGTATCTTGTGATTTTTGAGTTGTGTCTCCCTGACACTGAGCATCTTTGCATGCTTTTTTGGAGAAATGTCTATTCAAATCCTTTGCCCATTTTAAAATCTGGTTATTTGTCTTTTTATGATTGAGTTCTAAGAGTTCTTTATATATTCTGGATACTAGTCTCTTAACAGATATATGATTTGCAAATATTTTCTCTCATTCTCTGGGATCTCTCTTGACTTTCTTGATAGTCTGCTTGATGCACAAAAGCTCACTGCCTGTTTTTGTAAGTGAAGTTTGACTAGAACACAGCCATGCTCATTTGACAATTACAGTTGGCCCTCTGTATCTGCAGATGCAGAACCTGCAGATGCGGAGGGCTGACTATGGGATTTCAGCATTCTCTGCAGGTCCTGGAACCCATCTCCCCACTGATAATGAGGGACAGCTAACTGGACATATTGTCTATGGCTGCTTTTGTGCTACAGTGGCAGAGCTTAGTAGTTGCAAGAGACTGTATGGCCTGCAAAGCCTAGAATATTTACTGTCTGGCCCTTCCATAAAAATTTGCAGGCCCTTATCTTTTACCATATACAAAGAACAGAAGACATCACCCAGAACAGCAATGATGTGCTGAGTACATGTCTAAATCTAGAGATAATCTGGAGGAACTTTCTAGTTTTAGCACTGAAGTTTTTCATTATAAAAATTATTTTTTTATAACTGAAGTCCAAGCCATTTTTTCATAGACAACAAAACTAGCATTTATCAACAACTCCAATAGCCAATTTATTACATACTATAAAATCTTAAGTTACTCAACTTCCAGATAAACTAGGTTAGTGCTGGTGGGTACCCAGGGGAGGCTAGATGAGGTTACGGAGGAACCCTTTCTGTATTTCATTTTCTGTCCTGCAGAAGAGTACACGAAAGCTGCAGAACAATATCTTTCACATGTGGCGATACTACAACTTTGCTCGCATGAGAAAAATGGCTGACTTTTTCCTACTCCAGTCAAACTATAACTATGTGAATTGGTGGTCGACAGCCCAGAGCCTTGTTATTATTCTTTCTGGGATCCTGCAGCTGTATTTCTTGAAGCGTCTCTTCAACATCCCAACGACCACAGACACAAAGAAGCCAAGATGCTAAGCTCGAACAACTACAGTGCCCTGGCTCTTTTCTTCTGGGGCACAAGCTCTCTCAAATCTTTGTAAAGTTATTGGGAAAAAATCAATTTTTCTTGTTAGAAAGTTGTAGCCTATTGCTCTCATCTACACAGGCAAAATAGCAATAAATAAAAGTGTGTAAAGTTTTGACGTTGACTATTTCTAAAGTACACACTAAATGCTACCATCAAAATACTGTCCATCGTACTGCAGCCCCTTAACCTTCACTATGTTTATTTAGAAATTAACAGAGAACCTTGGAAGGGAGAAAAGTTGAAAAATATGGGACAAAAACATATAAAACTGGGTTTTATATGTTGCATACAAAAACAGGAGTTGGTAGAGTGCTTTTTTGTAATTGAAAAATGATTTATTTTTAGAGATGTCACCTTTGGAATTTAAATTAAGCAGTATATGCACTAAAGAAATTGCTTTACAATACAGGTACTTAAAAATTTTTTGTCTGTGACATGTTTTTCACTAAAAAATATTTTAGTAATTCTAAAAATAATTTTGGAAGGCATGGGAGAAGGATGGAGGAGCTAAATTATTATTTCAGGGTTTCTGAGTAGTGCTTTTTGTCCAGTCCAGTCATGTAATTAAAGATTTGTAAGAATATATGTATAAATGAATCACTTTGCTGTACACCTGAAACTAACTCAATATTGTACGTCAACTATACTACAATAAAAAAAATTTTTTAATTAAAAAAAAACCCAAAAGATTTATAAGAGAAATTGTTTTAGAAATCAAGGTGATAAAAATAACATTCAGCCTGGGATCATACCATTCAAGAAAAAGAGTGAGAAAACCGCTTGTAAAAGCCAAGATAATATAATCAAATTATGTTCATAAGATCCTACTCTTAGTAACAGAAATACTCAGTATAAACGTTACAGAAATAACTCTTACCATTTATTCAACACTCTCATTTGCCAGGCACTGTGCTAGATGCTTTACGATCACGATTTCCACTTCTAAAAACTATTCTTAGGAAGACGGCTAGGCTGCTTTTTGAAACAGAAGGAAATGAAGCTTATTAAAGTTTAATGACTCATCTAAGGCCATACAGCTGGTAGATGTGAGAACTGGTGTTTGAATCCAAGTTTTTTTCCACACTACACAGCACCTACCGTAAAGAAAATCGGCAGAATAAACTGCTCTTACTGTTTTATCCAAATTTCATTTGTAAAATTCCACACACGACCTACTATTCTGATGGCAATATCTATCTTTCATAGTATTAATAAATAAGAAAATTCATTACGTTCTTATCATGTGTTTGGAAAAGTGTTATCACAGATAACAATACGCTATTCTTGTCCTCAGTTCCAACAATTTAGAACCTGTTACTCAAAACAAGAAGCCCTCTGATTCAAATATAAAACACAGCATTCTAGTTAGTCATAATCACAAAGATCCAAAACCCCGTTTTTGAGCCATTTCTGCATAATAAGAATCCAACCTGCATTTGTCCATAATAGAATATTAAACTAAGAAGTCCCTGAAGAGGTCACAGTGTTGACAAAATTCAACATGATGGTGGAGCCTACACAGACACAGGAAACAAAGCTAGGCCCTTCCACACAGCCACAAGTCCTCGCGATGATTTCGTTTTAAGTCAATGTCTCTTCATGCCGCACATATTCCCCAATGTCTGCTTGATGAAATACCACAATCGCCATGGGGTCTACTTTCCTGCAGTCTTGTGTAGACTTTGCTGCCACCCCAAAACCCTGGGATTCAAAAGAAGAGACACTGATTCACTCAAGTCATTCAATAAGTACGTATTGAGGTCTGGAAACAACAAAGACGAAAAGATACAGTTCTTTGAAGAATTCAAAAGGTGCTGAGAATTTAGTCTCTCAAGTGCAGACTGAAAATACATCCATCTTGAATAAAAAGATACTTGATTTTTTAACAGCAACCATCTCTACTCACCAAAGGGATGTCTGCCATGGAGTACACCACAACTCCCTGGTACTGAGAAGTATTTTCAGTGATTCGACCAAGTCCAGATTTCAGCACATGGTTCCCATACAGGAAGGATTGCTCTGCTCCAGGTTTTATCCACACTTTATACTGTAAAAAAGAGAATTAAATCCAAGAGACATAAAAATGCTAAATAGTTAGACCCCTGCAGATAGGCTAACTGCTAGATCTATGGTTAATTTCTTTCTTTTTATCCCTTATGAACTAAGTTTTTTTGGTTCTTTTATTTATTTTCTTTTCAGTTGAAGTATAGTAATCTATAATACCATGTTAGTTAAAGACGCAAAACAGTGATCTGATATTTCTATACATTACAAAAGGATCACAATAATACAAAGTTATAGTACCTGTGTCATCTGTCTCCATACAAGCTTATTAAGATATTACTGACCATATGCCCCGTGCTATATATGTCACTGTGAGGTTCGTCTGTCTTGTAACATGAATTTTAAAGAAAAGAGAGAAAGAGTCATGCTTCCCTTAATATGTTCACCCCACGAAGAGACCAGCCAGGAGGTTCTTACCTCGACTCTACAATCAACTTCTCCCATGGGCAGTTTAACAGCTCTTTTTCTGTACCCCACTACGCTCCTCTTCACAGCCACCTATTTGCTTTTTGGTCTTGAGCTGGGTCTGCATAGGCTTTTCAGTTTCTACTGGAGATAACCACCACTACGCGGCCACACAGGGCTCCTACACCTGAGCCCCGACCACGCCCAGGCATTAAGATGTACACACATCTCCAGGTGCTGGCACTGACCCTAAGCACCGTCAGCGACTCCGTCGCAGAAAAGGTGCCCAATTCTGCCTTCTGATGTGGCCCTCAGCCTAGACTTCCTCCATCCCTAGTGGCGGACTGACACCACCCCACAAACCTTGGCATACGGTGCTAGGTAATCCAGAGCCGTGATGTGCAACCGAAACTTGTGGGTCTTCGTGAATTTTCCGAAGCACGTCCCCAGCGACACCAGCTTGTCACCGGAGATGTTGGCGGCCAACTTCAAAATCTTCTCACTGAAGGGATAAAGAAAAAGGCAGTGTCAGATGAGGGAGGCTGGAGGGACCCAGGACCCCACCCGGCTCCATGCTGCCTACCCGGCCCCTCGCCGCCTCACCTCACGTAGTACACCCGGTCGTTGTGCAGCCTGAAACAGTAGGTGCCGTCGGGCCTGTCGACCAGCAGCTGCAGATTCTCCCCGATGCTGAGAGCAAAAGGAGGACTAGAGGCCGCGCCCGGACTCATCCCGGCACCGCGCCCCCCGCTCCACCCACGCCCCTCCGCGCCACCCACACACTCCCTCTTCTGCCCCGCGCACTCTTACTATTTTGCTATCTTCTCAAACATTACTCGCGTCTCCTCTTCAGTCAGAGGCCGCATTTTCCCGCTGGGTTGGAACGCCGGATCCTCGTGCCTCAGTTACCGGAAACGGAAGATCAGCCGCTCCTTGGCAACCTCAAAGCCTGCCTCTCTAGCTGCTTTCCAGTCGTTGCCCCACGCTAGCGCCCCGTAACCTGGACGACTATCGGGGAAAGAAAGCGGGCCTGATGAGAAACCATAGAGACCGGAAGTACGCCCCGGCTGCTTTCGATTCTACGGAGTCAGTGCCCTCGCTGAGCGGGAGAGGAAGTGACGCTGCTGCTGAGAAGATGGCGGCGACAGCGACTCTCCCGCTCTCGACTACGGCCTCGGCCACAGCGACGGCCACCGCGGCTGCTCTCGGGGAGGTGGAGGATGAAGGGCTCCTGGCGTCACTGTTCCGGGACCGCTTCCCGGAGGCCCAGTGGCGGGAGCGGCCCGACGTGGGCCGCTACCTCAGGGAGTTGAGCGGCTCGGGGCTGGAACGGCTGCGGCGCGAGCCCGACCGCCTGGCCGAGGAGCGAGCGCAGCTGCTGCAGCAGACGCGCGACTTGGCCTTCGCCAACTACAAGACCTTCATCCGCGGCGCCGAGTGCACCGAGCGCATCCACCGCCTCTTTGGCGACGTGGAGGAGTCGCTTGGCCGCCTGCTCGACCGCTTGCCCAGCTTCCAACAGAGCTGCAGGTGCGGCGGGTCCGGTGCTAAAGGGGCTTTTAATACCTGTAATCGCTATCATTTACGACGATAGAAATAGCTAACACTTAGATAGCGCTTACCATATGCCAGGTTCTCCTCTGAGCATTTCATTAATCCATTTAAACTGCACAGCAGCCTTCGAGGTAGGTATTGTTATTTGCATTTTGCGTATGAGGAAGTTAAGACACAGAGGTTAGTGACCGTCCCAGGGCACAGCTAGTAAGTTTTGAAGTCAGAATTGGAACCCAGCAGCACGTCCCTCTCTCATAGGGCTGTTGTGAGCACTAAATAAAGAGAATCCATGCAAAGCACTTATCATTGGGTCCGACATAATTAACACTCTACAATTGTCAGCTTAATATATGTGCATATTTATGTAAACCTATACACACAACACAAACACACAACACACATGTACACACAACAGCTTGGACCAGAGGTCATCTGCTCTAAACCGTTCATTGATAGGAGGCTGACAAGGAAATCCTCCCGTTTGGGGACAGTAAAAATCATCATCCAAAAAAAAAAAATCTTCCTTTTTGACCCATATTCTCCCTCCCTCCACCCTCAATCCATTATCCCTAATTCTGCCTTCCAGTCTTTCGTGATAAAAGTTTAAGTTTTCTTTTGAGTCTTTGCATATTTGAGAATAGCTTTCATACTCTTCCAATCCCTTAGAATAGATGGAGGGCTTCACAAAGCAGGTGTCTGCAGTTACCGAGAAGAAATGGAGACTGTAGGAGGAACTGAGGTTGGACCATAGCATAGGAGATTAAGAGGCTGAGGGAACTTGGGGGTAAGGCTGTAGTTCTAGGCTAGTTAGGGCATTATGAAAATAATAAGAATAGCTGTTATTAAAGGAACATTTACTCCATATCAGGTCCTATGTTAAATGCTTTATACACATCATCTCATTTAATTCTCACATCCTTATGAGGTGGGTCCTGTTACTATTTTACCAATGAAGAAACAGTTCAGAGAGCCTAAGTACCTTGCTACAGCTTGTTAAGTGGCAGATCTGGGTTCAAATCTTTTTATCACTTATTAGTTGTGTGATCTTGGACAAGTTGCTTAAAATCTCTGGGATTAAAATTTCAAGGGTAAAAGTACTTATCTAATGGGGTTGGTGTGAAGATTAAATCAGATAAATCAGCCCAGTGCTCAGTTCATAGTAAGTGCTTGGAATTTGTAGCTAAGACTTGGATGCAGAGCAGTGAACCACCAATGAACTCCTGATTGTTACTAGGAATTTTGTGAAAGAGGCTGAGGAGATCAGCTCCAATCGCCGAATGAACACCCTGACTCTAAATCGGCACACGGAAATCCTGGAAATCCTGGAGATCCCTCAGCTCATGGACACCTGTGTCCGGAACAGCTATTATGAAGAGGCCCTGGAGCTTGCAGCCTATGTACGCCGACTGGAAAGGAAATACTCCTCCATCCCTGTCATCCAGGTAGCCAACTTGCCCAGAGAGGACTCAAGCTGATGTTCTTGTGATCAGTAATTCTGTGGTCATCACTGACCCTTTAGGCAGAAACCTTAGGGAAACTCCTTGCATTTTTCACATCAGTTTCTGCAAGGCAGGCAGGCTTGATCATAAAACATACATTCATTATTCAGTCAGCTGATAAATATTAATCATGTGCCAGGCATTGATCTAGATGCTGGGGGTACAATGTGAACAAAGACAAGGCCTTGGCTCTCATAAGCTGCTAGTTGGCAAATAAATAAATAATATCCTTTCAGATAGTGTTAAGTATCTTAACAAAATAAACCAGGGAATGGGGCAGGAGGCTAAGGTGGGTTACTCTAGGTAGAGTGGTCAGGAAAGGCTCTTCTGGTGAGATAACATTTAAGCTGAGACCCAGATGACAAGAAGGAGCCAGCCACATGAAGATGTGAGGGGAGAGCCAACCAGAAAGTGGTACAAACAAGTATAGCAGGCTAAGGAGGGAAGAAGTTGGAGTGTTTGAAGTATAAAGATAGCCATTCTGGCTGGATTGCAGTGAGCAAGGGGAGAGCATTAGGAAGCAGGTGAGGGCAGAAGAACCAGGCAGGGCCCGTAGGCCACAGTGAACCAAACCTTTGCTGGTGAACCTGTATGCATCAGTTTTAGGAAATCTACTTTGTATGTCAGGACAGCAGTGGGAATGTTGGTCTGCAGTATTCAGGGTTAGTGGAATGGGTTCCAGGGAGTGTCTTTCCCAGCGTGGTGACTCACCCCCTGTGTCGTCAGGGCATTGTGAACGAAGTGCGCCAGTCCATGCAGCTGATGCTGAGCCAGCTGATCCAACAACTGAGGACGAACATCCAGCTCCCTGCCTGCCTCCGTGTCATTGGCTTCTTACGGCAAATGGATGTCTTCACCGAGGCTGAGTTGAGGGTCAAGTTTCTTCAGGCCCGAGATGCTTGGCTCCGATCTATCCTGACTGCCATCCCCAGTGATGATCCCTATTTCCACATCACGAAAACCATCGAGGCCTGCCGTGTCCATCTGTTCGATATTATCACCCAGTACCGTGCCATCTTCTCAGACGAGGACCCGTTGCTGCCCCCTGCCATGGGCGAGCACACCGTGAATGAGAGTGCCATCTTCCATGGCTGGGTGCTGCAGAAAGTCTCACAATTCCTGCAGGTGCTGGAGACTGACCTTAACCGAGGGATAGGCAGCCGTCTGGACTCTCTGCTAGGCCAGTGCATGTACTTTGGACTGTCTTTTAGCCGGGTAGGGGCTGATTTCCGGGGTCAGTTAGCTCCTGTTTTCCAGCGAGTGGCTATCAGCACTTTCCAGAAAGCAATTCAGGAAACGGTCGAGAAGTTCCAGGATGAAATGAACTCCTACACCCTCATCTCAGCTCCAGCCATCCTGAGCAGCAGTAACCTGCCTGCTGCTGTTCCAGTCACTCAGCCGGGGACCCTGCAGCCGCCCATGGTGCTCTTAGACTTCCCACCCCTTGCCTGCTTCCTCAACAATATTCTGGTCGCCTTCAATGATCTGCGCCTCTGCTGCCCCATGGCCCTGGCGCAGGATGTGACTGTGGCCCTGGAAGACGCCCTTGCCAAGGTGAGCACGTACTGTTGGCTCTCTTCTGGGGCCTCCTTTAGTAACAAGTGGCCACACTTTTGTAATAAACCAGTCTGTGTGACAGTGGTGCCTGCTGACTTCGGTTTAGTGTGGTTTTAGAGGTTTTTCTGGTTGAAAAGCTCTGGTTAGTCTCCTTTCATGAAGTGTCTCACCTGTAGTAATGGTTCAGTAATATATTGATTTTCTATTGCTGCATAACAAACTCACACAAACATAGCAGCTTAAACAACACACATTTATCATGTCTGTTTCTGTCGGTCAGGAGTCCAGGCACAGCCTAAATGGGTTGGTCCTCTGCTCACAAGGTTGCAATCAAGGTGTTGGCCAGGCTGTGGACTCACCTGGAGCTCAGGGTCCCCTCCTTTCAAGCTCACTCACAGTGGCAGATTTCTGTTCCTTACAGTTGTAGGACTGAGGCCCTCAACTCCTAGAGACCAGCCCACTCCACAGGCAGTTCAGTGTGGCTTTTTGATTCTTCAGAGCCAATGGGAGAGCATCTCTCCTTGCTAAGTCTCCTTTAGAGGAGTCCTCAACCCTCTTTTAAGAGGCTCATCTAATTAGGGTAGGCCCACCCAGGATAACCTCCCTTTTCATTAATTCAATCAGCCGGTTAGGGACGTTAATTAAAACGGCCAAATCCTTCACCTTCGCCATATTCTGTGGGTTAGAAACAAGTCACAGATTCTGCCTGCACTCAAGGGAAGGAGATTACACAAAGGAGTGGATACCAGGGGGCGGGGATTACAAGAGCCATATTAGAATTCTGCCTAATACAAGTAATACTACCAACATTGCTAATATCCGAGTATGGTGCATTTTTACACATTAAATCTTTAGATATTGGGTGTTTCTTATAATTGATGACATCTTACAGTTGCTGTGAGCCAGGTGGCAGTTGTGATGTGGTTGTATAAAATCTTTCTGTTGATGTCCTCCTGTAAGAAAGAGCAAGGAGGGCTTCCCTGGTGGTGCAGTGGTTGAGAGTCTGCCTGCCAACACAGGGGACACGGGTTCGTGCCCCGGTCCGGGAAGATCCCACATGCCACGGAGCAGCTGGGCCCGTGAGCCATGGCTGCTGAGCCTGCGCGTCCGGAGTCTGTGCTCCGCAATGGGAGAGGCCACAACAGTGAGAGGCCCGCGTACCGCAAAAAAAAAAAAAAAAAAGAGCAAGGAAGCATGAGCAACAAAGCTTTTTAGGGTCAGTGCAATTCAGATAATAGTAATTAGCTAATATTCATCTAGAGCTTACTTCATGCCACGTAATTTATCATACTTTACACATATTAAAACTTAATTCTACAACCCTGTGAGGTTAGGTCCTGTTGCTGGCCCTACTTTATAGATGAGGGAACTCAGGCACAGAGGGCGTGGGGTGCTTAAGTAATCACTTAGAGGCCATAGAACCAGTGAGTGGCACAGCTGGAGTTTGAGCCGAGAACGTCTGGCACCAGAGTCTATGTTCGTTATTTATTTGTTTGTTTGTTTGGCCGTGCCTCTTGGCTTGTGACCAGAGATTGAACCTGGGCCCTCGGCAGTGAAAGCACAGAGCTCTAACCACTGGACTGCCAGGGAATTCCCCAGAGTTTATGTTCTTAACTCTGTCACTGTGACCCTGCCTGTAATGTCAGCTAGGCTGTTATTTGTATGTGGAACTTCTTTTCCAGCTCTATTTTTTCCTCCTTTACAATTTTCTAGTGGTTCTAGCATTGTGAAACTTCAGAGGCCTTACTCAGTAGAAGCCTTTTATAGTGTTGCTTCATCTTCCTGGATCCACCATAGTTCTGGTCCATCTCCCATGGGAGCCAAAAGCAATGTATTCTGTGTATAATTTCATGATGCTCCTCCACTGGAACTGGAAACTGCACTAGTAATAAAACTAGTTGGATAAGAAATACATCAGTGAAGTGACAGAATTGTGAAGATTGACCACAATTGTGAATTTAAACAAGATAATAATATCATGTACGGTTTGGAACAACTTTCTTCATGAAAACTTGAGGGCTGCACACTTGTACCTAGTTTTATACACTGCTGATGGTGATAGACTAACCTGGTGATTGATGGTGCCCTTGTCTCTTAGGTAACAAAAGTAATCTTGGCCTTCCATCGTGCCGAAGAGGCTGCCTTCAGCAGTGGGGAGCAAGAGCTCTTCGTCCAGTTCTGCACTGTCTTCCTGGAAGACCTCGTTCCTTATTTAAATCGCTGTCTCCAAGTCCTTTTTCCTCCAGCTCAGATGGCACAGACCTTAGGTAAAAGAAGGGAAAAGATTCTTAAAACTATTTTATTGACATAATTCACATACTAAATAATTCACCTATTTGTAAAATTCAAGGTTTTTAGTAAGTGTACACAGGTGTGCAACCGTTACTACCATCTAGTTTTAGAAAGATCCCCGGTGTTCATTTGTCGTCATTCCCCAATCTTGCCCTTAGCCCCTGGCAGCCACTAACCTTTCTGTTGCAGTAGATTTGCCCTTTCTGGACATTTCTTATCAACAGAATCATACATTATGTTTATATCTAGCTAAGTGGAAGAAGCCAGTCACAAAAGAACCACATAATGTATGATTCCATTGACATTAAATGTTTACAGATGGTGTTTTAAAAATATTTTTTAGAATTTACCTTCCCTTCCCTATGCCCCCTCTCTCTCTGCCTGTGAAGGGGGTGTGGGAGGCACAATTTCCCAAAGGGTAGTGGGCCAGTGATCCCACCAGCAGAGTGGCTGCTCTCTGCTCCCCCAGCTTTTCCTTGGGTCTGTCCAGGGAATCCAGTGCCTGCTGAGGCTCTCCTGGTGCTTTTTTTCTCCATCCGTCCTGCACTGTGCTGTTTCCATTACTTTCAAAGTCTGGCTTTACCGCATAGGTGCCTGTCCCATATCACAAAGTGATTTTTACTGTATTGAAATATGGTAACTGTGTTCGTTACTTCCAATAAGTGTTTTTTTGTTTTTGTTCTTTTACCTGTGACACATAATTAAATTCATTAAACGCTTTTTCCACTTCTATTCTTTACCATCTGGGCCAGGCATTCCACCCACTCAGCTCTCCAAGTACGGAAACCTGGGGCATGTGAACGTCAGCGTCGTCCAGGAGCCTCTGGCCTTTATCCTGCCGAAGAGAGAGATGGCCTTCTGTCTAGACGACAAGGAGCTAGTCCCCGAGGTCACAGCTCCAGCGCCAGAACCCCCAGACGAGGGGCCAGTCCTCGAACCTGTCACCTCGGCTTTCCCTGACGGGGGGCAACAGGAGGTGGGATCCGTGGGACCGCCGCAGGCAGCCGACGAGCCTAGTGCAGGCACTTGACAGGCGCCCCCTGCGCCTGGGCCGGTGCGGCGGGTACCGGGGCCCCGGAGCCCGAGGGGCTTACTTACTGCAGCGCCCGGTGGGAACGGGAGTTGCCGCGCGTGGGAGAGGCTGCGAAGGCATAATTAACGGGAGAACCTCCTGGATATTCTTGTAAATGCTTGATTAAACTATCAAATGGAATTAAGTAATAAAGCTGGTGGACGCCACCCAGAGGCAGGCTGCGAAGCGTGAGCGGCGCCGGCGTTCCCGGAAGGCCCGCGGGAACTGCACTTCCCGGAGTCCCTGGGGGCGGGAGCTTCGGCTACGGGGGCCGGCCAGGGACGCGTGCGGGCGGGTGGCTAGGCTCCACGCGCCATGGGTCAGCTGGGGGCTGGGCTGCTGCTGCGGTGGCTGCGGGCGCGTGGCTGCGTGAGGCCGGCCTTGCAGTGGGGAGAGCGGGTAGCGGGCGGCGGTGCCCGGGCGTGCAGCTCCAGGCACCCCCCGGATGGCCTCGAGGGCCCGGCGCGCCGGCGCTCCTACTGGCGCTACGTACGGCGTCTGGTGCAGGGAGCGCCGGAGCCGCCGTACCCGCGCGTGTGCCAGGTCGGGGACCCGGCGCTGCGGGCCGTGGCGGCCCCGGTAGAGCCGGCACAGCTGGCGGGACCCGAGCTGCAGCAGCTGGTGCAGCGGCTGGTGCAGGTGATGCGACGCCGCCGCTGCGTGGGCTTGAGTGCGCCGCAGCTCGGAGTGCCGCTGCAGGTGCTGGCGGTCGAGTTCCCCGAGGCGCTCTTCCACGCATGCGCGCCGCGCGTGCGCGAGGCCCGTCAGATGGAAACCTTCCCCCTGCGCGTGTTCGTGAACCCCAGCCTGCGTGTGCTGGACAGCCGCCTGGTCACCTTCCCCGAGGGCTGCGAGAGCATCAGCGGCTTCCTGGCCTGCGTGCCCCGCTTCCAGGCGGTGCAGATCTCAGGTGCGCGGCGGTGGGGTCCCTGGGGCGGATAGGTAAATGCGTGCTCCCCTTTAACCTGCGGAGGCGGCGGCCTCGGATCCCACGAAACGGTTTCCGCAAAGTTCCAGTTAAAGCGTAGACAGGTTGATGGCTGATCAGCGGAACCTACCTACCCACGAGCAGACCCTGGAGTGGACAAAATTCAGGACTGACGCGATGCGATGGGGCAGGAGGCGCCTGTGAGGGCAGAGCCAGCTCAAGTGGGGCACAGGGTTGGGGGTTGGGGTTTGGGAGGGTGGCCTGATTCCCCTGTTAGCTCACACCACATCCTCTGCCCTGTCACTCACCTTGTGCCTGTTTGTCTGTCTCTCTCTCACACACACACACACACTCTCTCTCTCTCTCTCTCTCTCTCTCTCTCTTCTGCGCCAATTAGATCTGTCACGTGGAATGGGAGAAGTAGAACCCAGCTTTGCCTAACCCAAAGTGATAAGCCATTACCTGTCATACCACAGGATGTTTTGCAGAGTGTGATTCTTTGCTGGGGTTGGGATGATTGTTCCTCTTGAGCAAGTCACTTGGGAAGATCATTTCTCATTTCAGCCCCATAGCGAACCCAGCAACCTACTCGTCAGAGTTGGGAACCAGGCTGAATACTTGGTAAGAGGCAGAGTTCAGACTTCTTTTCTAGGAAGCATAGGGGCTGCCGTCTGCATCCCCTTCTGATATTGCCTCTTGTAAATAGGAACAGCCAGGGGCAAGGAAAGGCTAAGTAGGTTGAGAATGATGCAGTTCAGCATGTCCTCACCCAGGCTGTACCTTCCTTTTCAGGGATGGACCCCGGAGGAGAACAGGTGGTGTGGCAGGCCAGTGGGTGGGCAGCCCGCATTATCCAGCATGAGATGGACCACTTGCAGGGCTGCCTGTTCATTGACAAAATGGACAGCAAGACATTTACAAACATCCATTGGATGGAGGTGAATGACTAAAGCTTTCCTGCTGCATCTGAGGACCCTGAAAACCAAGACACAAACATTTTGGCTTTAAGCTGGGCATGTCTTACCTGGCATCGACTTGGTATTGGCTCTGCTCCGACAGAAAACAATGGCCTGTCAAAGCATGCCTTCCCGAGTTGGAGGAAGATGTTAATGTTTGCCCTGAAATGAGCTATGGACAATGTATTGCCTTTAACTTGAGAAGAAAAATAACTCCCCTGAAGGAGTGGACATTTCCTGGCAATTTTGTATGGAGATAAAGATGGGGCGCGGGCAAGTAAATAGCCACTCTCAGTAGACATGATTTCAGAAGAGCTGTATCATCTGTTCCCAAAGCCAAGATTAGATAATATAGTCCCCAAACACCTGAAAGCTGTGTTTTAAAATGCGGATTAAGGCTGTGGTTGATCGCCTTCACCAAGTTCTTACGTTTACAAAGGGCTCAAGTGTGTTACCTGCATAGTCTCCATTTGTTTTGGATACCAGTTTGCCTGTGGAAGTAAAACACAGGACAGAATGTCCCCAGTTCAATGACAATATTAACGTAACTGAGTATTCATACATTTTAACAGGTTCAGATACAGTTTAGGTCTCCAGCTTTTGCTTTCCACCTTTAACAGACCTGGGGAAGACTTTTCTGCTGAGATCTCTTAGGCAGCTGGTACTTGGCTCATTCTTTGGATGGAGGCCATGGAGCAGGGCTGGGGGAGGGGTGATATAGGTTTCCTCACGATCTGAAAGAAGAGTGTTCTGATGAAACCTTTCCTAAGCTGAAATAGCATAAATTGAAGAAGCAGTTACCTTGGGACACATCTTGCTAACAGATGCACAAAATAAATGGAGATAAAGCAGATTGTCACAGATACAGTTCAAAACTGTGGTGGCTTGATGCTGAGCACAGCTCCCAGGTAAGGAGCTTGGCGGTGCCACTCTGGCAGCTCTGAGTGCGTGCTGCTTCTATAATGGCTCACTGCAAAACAAAAGCTGAATGCTATTTCAGCTTTCACCTTTTTCGTAGAAGTGAAAATCCTCTTCAAATTTCTTTCCATTAGTGAAAACAGGTACTAATATAGGTCTTTCATAAAAGCAAAGCAGTGTAAAGTGAAGTTACAAAAAGTGGGGGATGCCTGTAGTTGAGAAGGAGCAAAGAGCCTCTTCCTGTCACAATTAGGGCAGAAACAGAAAGCAGAACTTGTGCTTCCTCGTCAGCACACTTATTCTGAAAAAAATAAATTAGCATCATGGTGACCAGTGTTTTAGCTTTAAGATTCTGTCACAGCTTTGTCAAGAGGTTAAGGAACTCATTTCTTTTGATACTTGTCTTACCTCAGTTTTATGTTGAGTTTTGCCATGCAGGTACTCTTACCAAAGTCCTCAAAATCCAAGTACCCATAGAGTAAGAAGTCCAGTAAGTTGTTTAGAGAAAATGTGTTTTAAACAGTAGTTAATTAAATGACCCCAGGAAAGACCCATTTTCCCCCATGGCTTTCTCTAAACAGCCAAGCCTGGGGGCCTGTGAGGCCAAGCAAAAGAGAACTGGCTCTCTGTGCATCACACTTCAGAGAGAAACAGGGCCCAGCACTGCCCTGAGGTGAGGACAGAGACTCAGCCACCTGGGAATCTGTAGTGAGCTCTCACGTATACTGAAAACACGTATCCTTAGGAAAGTTAGAATTCAGTGAGCCTCCTTTCTATTGGACACTGTTCAGAAGCTCCTGCAGGATGGCATCAAAACATTCTGAAGATTCCTTACAGGCTCTGCGGTTAACCGTCCTTAGTAATGCCTTTGTAATGCAGATCAGTAGTATTTGCCTGAAGCTTCCTGAATCAAGGCCTAAAAGTAAATGATTGCCCAGGGTGGACTGTGGAGAAAGCCTGAGACTACGCTGCTGACAATATATGAAATTTACTGTTATAACCAAATCCACATACAAGGAAGGATTTGATCAACTAGCCCAAGACACTACAACCCAAAGACAAAAAATTCTTGCATTTACAAGAAAGAAAATCTCTCCCACCTTGGCCAGATATTATCAGCTGCAGAACCACACAGATCAGCACCTTGAGCTAATAAAAGTTTTAGAAGTCAACTTCCACAGCGAAAATCAATGTAGGCAGAAGGTTTAGAACAGAATTCCCAGGTAGGGAGGAAGTGAATTTCAGAGCAAGCGCTTAGGGAAGGAAATTCCTCTGCACATATTAGCCACATTGAGCATAGCCACCGTGCCAGCCTCAGTAGTGAACAGAACATTCATTTGCCCTGTTACTGGTGGTAGAGAGATAAATGGAAAGGCAGGGCAGCTGTGAAAGCTGTGACTAGAGCTGTGAGGATGAACCACGGCAGTCCTACAGTTTCTGCTAACCCCTGTGACTTGCCAAGGTGTTCAAGCAGTAGAAATAAGGAAGCAGGTTAAGGAAAAAAAAAAAAAGGCAAGAGCCTTCTGATTTAAGTAAAGGTAACCAGACACAAGTAACTAAAATGAAGCAGTACAAGGAGGGGGTGGTTTATAGACCAGCAATTGGTGGCTGAAGGCACATAACTAATCAAGAATATAATAGGGGAGCTCCTGAGTGAGTGACAAAGATCCCAGCCACAGTGACATCTGGAGGTCAGGCCTGCTGATCCACCAGCACTGGAGAGGAACACTGGGCCTAAGCCTTCAAGGAACCAAGCAAAAGTTAAACACCACAGTGCAAAGCTAACAAGATCAAGAGGGGCCACATAATCAGCTCTGGACCATTCTGGTTGAAGATACAGAGGAAGAATGCTAGGTTTTGGAGGGGGAGGAGAGCTACAGGAACCGGATGCCAGGCTGCTTCTGCTGCCCCTCAGACAGCACTTCCAGGGCTGCTAGCTCTGGAGCCTTGGCTGTCTCACTATCAGGAGTCACAGGTTCAAATGGCCACAGGGGCTGGACAGGAAATGCAAAGGAGGCAGTCCAGGTGGGGACGCGTGAGCTGGAGAACACAGTCCTCCTATGAACAAGAAAGGCCCTGCTCAGATGCAGCTGATAGGCTGCCTCATGGGGATTCAGGTCTAGCGTTTCCTAAACTACTGTTTCAGAAGCCAGAGGTCTAAATTTTTATGTCAACTTGACTTTAAATGTTGGCAGCAGACCAAACCAAAGCACAACTGCAGGCCACGTCTGGCCCACAGGCTTCCCAGTTTGCAGCCCCTGATCTGTAGGCTGAACAACAAGAATCACCCAAGTCCCTTAAACACCCCCACCGCACTTCTGAGGCCTTGGGGGAAGA